CCGGCTAGTGATTCCTCCAGAAATTGTTCCCCCTCGTCTGTCATCACTTCGACCTGATCCTCTCGAGATTTTCCTAGCCTGATCATTCGATAACTGGAGCGTATACCAAGGGTGTCCAGCTCAATTAGGCGGGGATCAAATTATTTGGCTCAGGTATGTTTTGGGGCCTCACTAACGAATCTCACACCACATACACCACACCTTTTTAACGCAAACAAGTGAAATTTGCAGCAATTTTTCGATATCAACTGTTGAAGAGGAATTAGCAAGCTGGAGAAAATGAATTGGCGGGTCGGATCCGGCCCGCGGGCCGCCAGTTGGACAACCCTGGCCTAGACGGATACGAATCAGCTCCCTCCACTTCATTAGCTCTTCAAATAAGCGCGAGAAGGTGCACAAGGTCCACAGCCCCTCACGAGTGAAATCTAGTGTATCACGAGTGAGACTCGTCATTCCATAGACGAGATTGCTGATTGCCGTGGACTTCGCGATAGAAGCGGACAAAGCGATTACCGCCTTGCCTTCGCAATGCAATTTGGAAGATGAGGTGTTGGGCATAGTACGAATGCCTTAGATCTGTGGTTCTCAGACTTCTTTGAATTGCGATTCACTTGCCGACTCTAGAAATTTTCGCGTCCTACCGGAATCCAGAACGGAGTATTTTCAAAGTAATTATAGCTTGAAAGAAATTCATTGACCTTTTCTGCAGTGTGTTTTATCCTGAGATTTTATTATAATGGGACATTTCTGGCGACCCCCAACTTTTCCTGTGAAGGTAGGCCTCGGCCAGACTTGAAGACAGTTCGTAGACTGGGCCTTGTGAGTCCCGATGCCTTTTCTGACTTCTGATTAGCTATTGCTCTTTTGATTTTGGGTCATTATTAAGAATTTGGAAACTGTCGCAAGTCTCGAAAAAGGGAAGCCTTTCAAAACCGGTTTTTGCATTAAGGGACTGCCATTATGTATCCTCACCAATATTTAACCAACCTCAATTCTCTACACATGGAAGAATAAAGGTGAGTATCTATATAATAATAGCCGACGTACTCCAGTCTGTCCGCCGGAGGCCTGCACGGCTCGACTCTTCCGAATCCGACCCGATCGGCCCGATTCGAGTCGTGGTCCTACCCGCGGGTCTGGTCGGGCCGATCGGGCCTGCCCGCAACCCGCTTAGGCCTCTAAACTTCAGAACTCCGGGTCTCTGGGTTCGTCTTTTTTCTGAGCGGCTCTACCGGCTCTGCTGAGTCTTCCACCTGACGTCCCATGACGTCACATTCGTGCTGACCTATTCGGTGCTCCCATAGTTCACTACGTTCCACTGGTAGTTCCTTGCCCGAGAGTGATGTCATTTAATGACATGATCGCATCGAGCGCTGACGGAACGAGACGTCCTTATTGCCAGCAGCTGTAAACGGCTCTAGAAAAAGACTACTCTGAGTTTATTCTAGCGTATTCGCCTGCACCCAACATGAAACTTGATTGCCACCGATTCGCCGGTCGGGTCTGCCTGATAGAGCTCATCCCCATTCCCTGCGAAGCTCAAAATCATCCCCCGCATTCGAGTGTGAGACGATTTTCACTCCGTCGAGGGATCTCGCTTAATGATTTCTTTATAGGCACTGGGGTTGGGATATTTTTTTGGGTTTCAAAGGCAATTGAGGGCCTCTGATGACGGAAGAATCAAACATACTCCATCTCTTTATTAATGACCCAAAATTTGGCGGTTCAAAAAATCCTGCGAAATGCCTCATTTGAATGCTATTCGACTGAATTCCATTAGCCAGAATCAGATGTGAATATTTCACGGGTTACGTCTTCCTGTCTGTCCGCCTGAGGCTTGCGCGGGTCAACTTTTCCGAAACCGACCCGATCGGTCCGATTCGAATCGTGACCCTAAATCCAGCCCCTTAACTCGATCGCCGGACAGAGTTTTACGGACCCCCCCCTCCTTCTCTCCGCTGGTCGTGTCGGGCCTATCGCGCCAACCCACAGCCCGCTTAGGCCTCTTGAGTTTAGAACTCGGGGTCTCCGGGTTCGTCCTCTTTCTAAGCGGCGCTGCTGACGCATCCAGTTTTCCCATGACGTCATGTTCGTGTTGGTTTATCGTCTTCTCAGTTCACTGCGTTCCGCTGCCAGCTGCTTGCCCGAGGGTGACGTCATTTAATGACGTGATCGCGTCGAGCGCTGACGGAACGAGGTGCCCTTTTTTTTTTAAATAATCCTTTTGATAGCGTATTCGCCTACACCTAACAGGAAACTCGATTCCGGACCGAGCTGCCGGCCCGATCAGTCGGGTCGGGTCAGTCCAATACAGTTGAAACTCGGGGACTAAAAAGGGAAATTTGAGATCTATTGAGGATGAGAAACCTCTTCCCTCCTTCATCTGTTAAAGGAAAGTTCCTAATTCGTACGATTTGTCTCATCTAAATGTTATAGAACTAAACCTGCATTTTGGTATATAGGGAAATTCTGGGATTGATTTAAGGGGGGGGGAGGGGGAATTAGGGGGCGCACTCAATATTATTGATTCGAAATATGGCCGTTGAAAACTCCAGCTGTGTGTTTCATTTAAATTTTTTGAAACGGAAGTCCATTAACCTCAAATACGAAGACGTGAATGTTTCACGGGTGATATTATAAGAATACAAACACTGCCCAATGGAACACCCACTTCATTCGACTGAATACACACCAGTCACTGATGCGGCGCAGTTTAGTTCGCACAGCACTCATAAGCTCTTGAACGTAGCTTTCGGGAATGTCCTTGACCACTTTCTTTACCCGGCGAGATAATTCACCCAAATTTTCAGCAGGGGTTTTGAAAAGGCCTAGCCGTCGGTCGATTTCTGCCCAGTAGCGCTCAACTGGTCTGGCCTGTGGGAGATGAGTGGGATTGTTTTCATTTTCCACAATCTTTATTCCCATGGATTGAAGATGCTGCGTAACCGTGTTGGCATAGTGGGGGCTTGCATGGTCCGGCCAGAAGATGGCATCCCCATTGGGATACTTCTTGTTGAGAAAGGGGATGAGACGCTTCGTAATACATTCCTTGAGGTACAGCTCCTTGTTCACATTCATGCCAGAGGGAACCACGTTAACTGGACTCCGCCCACGCATGCTGAGAGCCTGCCACACCATCAGCTTCGGACACAATTTCCTGACAGGAAGAACTTGTTTCTCTGTTGGAGTTGTACTGCTGTTGTAGAACATGGTTGACGTTGATTTGCTTTCATCCAAATGTATGTAAGTTATAACAGCAGTAACCGCAGTACAACTCCAAGAGAAACAAGTTCTTCCTGTCAAGAAATTGTGCGGTTACGCAGCATCTTCAATCCATGGGAATAACGATTTTGGAAAAAGAAGACAACCCCACTCATCTCCCACAGGCCAGACCAGTTGAGCGCTACTGGGCAGAAATCGACCGACGGCTAGGCCTTTTCAAAACCCCTACTGAAAATGTGGATGAATTATCTCGCCGGGTAAAGAAAGTGGTCAAGGACATTCCCGAAAGCTACGTTCAAGAGCTTATGAGCGCTGTGCGAACTAAACTGTGCCGCATCAGCGACTCTAGTGTGTATTCAGTTGAATGAAGTGGGTGTTCCATCGAGCAGTATTTGTATTCTTATAATATCATACTCATCTTCATTCTTCTTCCATGTGTAGAGAATTGAGGTTTGTTAAATATTGGTGCGGGTACATAATGGCATTCCTTTATTACATAGAGTGAAAGAAAGCCTCCCCTGTGGACCAGAGTAAATTTTGAAAAAGCATTGCACATGTTATTTTCCCGAGCGGTTCGCAACCATCGTGCAATGCCGTTTGCCTGGCTGGCTTTGGCTGCCTTTATTTAAGCAAGAAAAACCTGACCTTCAAGGCTACGCAATCTGAAAGATGAAACTCTGTCTTCGCTCATCATTCAGCAGAAAAGCATTCGAGATCCTGCATTTCCGAAAGCGCCCACTGTCTGTCCACTAGCAAATGTTCCTCCTTGGATTCCGTATGGTATGTTCTATCCTTACGTATAAATGCTGGGAGTCTCGGATCTCTCTCACACGATTAAATTTTGCACTAGTTCTCTATAAATCTGCTGCTAAAGAAAGTGTGTCATCTCTTCACATTATTCTATTGAATTTGGAAAGCATCCGGATGGGTTGCTGGCGTAATGCAGAATCTTGGAGGTTTCCGTGGAACATCTAACGCGCTGCATACAAATAGTTATGTTTTTTTTTAGACAAACGACAACGGACGTATTACGGAACACTGAGAGGAATGGGGTGCCCTCTTGGCACAGGCACCACATCCGAATGGCAGTCCCTCAGGCATGGACGCCCCTCCACGGTCCTATAGGAGGCTTAAGGATCAGCTCACGTTGCCTAAGCCCATGACTGGCACGAGTGGTTTTTAAGGTGTACTGCACCCATATCTCCTAGACGAGGCACGCAGAATGGCGTGTGTGTCTATGCTTAGCAGACACTATTAAGACCTTAGAAAGATTGTCGGCGGAAGAAGAGCCCGCCGCCACTCGGAAGCCAGAACCACTCGAACACCCCCTAATGCTTTTCAAAATAGGGCTAAAAGTAAATTTAAACAAGAGTTACATTATTTTTCCCCTTCCGTTTTTATTAGTAGACTTGGACCCATGAAGTTATTTTCGCCTTAAAAAGAAAGACGGAAATAAAAAATAATAAGTATTACAGATGAAAATATTACGGGCAGATAAAAGTCTTCCTCATCCTTGGATATTGCAGTGGAAGAAATTTATGAGGAAGCCACGAAAGGATATTAAAAGGGCAAAGCTTGTCTAATTCGGATCTCTTTTTCACAATGCAGATCGTATCTGCCAATATTTTGGAATCTGAAACCTAGGGTCCGCAGACTGTTGGCCTTCATGGAGAGGTTCACGGATCCAGAAAGTTAAAAAATCTCTGACCAAGGTCATTCCCTTCTGGACGTTGTATCAATACTTTCCCGGCTTTAACAATCGAAGGTGTTACATATGCATTCAATACTTTTTTATTGTTCGACAATACATTTTCTCACGAAACAGGATTTGGTCCCTTTTCATCTTTTTTTTTAGCAGTAGACGGTCGCTTCTGCGGCTGCCTGGAGACCCACTTGTGCTTGGCACTCTCGGCTCGACCCTTCTTGCCCCCTCCGACCGTCACCACCTTAACGTCCTCCACGGTCTCCACGGAGGAAGACGTGGAGGACGTGGAGGACGTGGAGGACAGGAAGGCCACGTCCCTCACCGGTGGGGATGCGATTCGGACTCGGCTCCCTTCCGTGCTCCGCCTGGTGATTGGGGTCACGGACTGCCAGTGCACGGTGGGGAGAGTCTGGTCGTCCGAGGGGATCTCTCCATGGGGAGGAGAATCCCTTCGGGAGACGGAGGTTGCTTCGTCTGCACGAGCTCTCTCGTCTGGATTATCACAGGAGAACTTCTTGGATAGGAGGGTGAATTCTTGATGGGCTCTGGCCATGTTTTCTAACTTCCTGATCATCTGGAAGTCCGCCAAAGGCATGGAAGAAGAATCGAGTCCCAGGACTCGTCCAATCATCGTTCGGAAATCCTCCAACTGGTGAGGAGAAAGCAAAGACATGAGTCAACGTTTCTCAGATCCAGAATGGAAATCAGAGGACGTTATTCAACGAGGCAGACCTGTTTTTCTCTCTTTCTGGCATCGGAGAGGGCCAGTTTCGTGGCATCTAATTCGGCGGAGAGGGCGTCGATGGCATTGTCGCTAAGACGCCGATCTTCCATCGCTGCCAAGTTTTCCTCTTCTGCTGCCATTTTCAAGGCCGTCAATTTTCTTTTCATGCGGCTCTTCCCGGCCTCCAATTCCAGCACGTGGACCCGCAGCCTCTCGAACTCGTCGTCTCTTTCCAGGAGCTTCACCTACGAGAATGGAAGAAAGAAATTAATCGAAACCAAAAAAGGAAAATTATTCGGAAAATGTCACTTTCCACTGGTAATGATTCCGGAGGAAGCTAAGGGATCTAAAGCACCTTGGCGTCGGACATCTGTTGCAGTTCGTCCTTGAGAATACTCATTCGCTCCTGCTCTTCCCTGAGTTGGGCCTGATATCGCTCCACCTGCTGTGCCATCTTCTTTGACCTGCTGGCACCAAGAGCCACGAATTGTTGGGACAAGTCACGAATGTCACGAGCAAGACATCTAAGCTAGCACATGGTCAGATGTCCAAGTGCTGAGCGACTTGAGAGACCGAAATGTGACAGGAAATGTCATGGGGATGTTGCGTAGCTGTACTCGAAACGAAGAATAAGCACAATATCTAGAAAAACTAAGGTCCGAATACTGAAACCTCCTTTAGTTAACGGTCCTTTAAGAATACATGGACTTCTATGGAGGAAAAGAACTCTTTTATCTTTTATCCCCTCTAAATGAAGTTTGTACATTTGGGCCTAAGAAAAGTATTTCGTACCAGATACATAGTTTGAGGGAGCAATCTTATGTACTTGGAGAAACGAAGCATTAAAAATTTAGAGTACTTAGTAATCTGCCTCATCTGAAATAAAAGTTTTTACTCATCCATCCTCCTACACTCTCATCGTGCACATCTCAACGGATTATTTTGTATTCTTCATTTCCTTGGGAAATGGAGTCTGACGTGGACCTGACTTGGAAGGCTTCGTTTTCCCTCTGCAAAGACGAGACCTCCTTGGAACGATCCTCGAGGCTGGTGATCTTCCGTCGCAAGACGTCCAGCTGCAGGTCTTTCCTCTCCGCCTGAGATCGGAAGGCTCGCAGCTTTCGCTGCAACTCGTGCACCGCCACCGACTGCATCCGTTCGATCGACAGGGATTTTTATCTATTCCATGCTGTACGTATTGCCACACGACAATGTGGAAGGGAGACCTTGGAATGTAGTTGATCTCCCTCGAGGCGGACGAGCTGTTCTGCTCTGGCCACGATAGCCTCGGGGCCGAGATCGAGATCGAGGTCGAAGTCCCCCCGGGTCAGCTCCTCCAGTCGCATGGCCCTCGACAGCCTCTCCAGAAAGTCCCTGTGCTATCCCATCCCGTGATTCCCTTTCCAGGCAACAAATCCTTCCATAGTACCAGTGAGGTTTCTCACCGTGGCTTGGGTCTTCCTCAGCCGTTCTTTGAGGATCTCGGTCCCGACGGCCTCGTCCTCGCCGATCTTCGTCTTCTGCCGAAGCCGCGACACTTCCTCCTCCAAGTCCTTCGTTTTTTCTTTGGCACAGCGCAGTTCGTCTTCCTTTCGCTTTGCGTCCTCCATTACTCCGCTTATCCGCTGGCAAAGCGCGTCGATTTGCTGCGAAAAATCAATGAGGCTGTTCTGCTTGTACGAAATAAGAAATTCAATGCAACCCTTTGGCGCCAAGTCCCACACGTTTCTTTCTCTAGTAAGAAGAGTGTGGGATCATGCCACCAGAAGCAAGGAAGCAAGAGGAAGGAATCAGGACTTCTAAGCAGAAAAGTAATTGTGGAAAGAATCGAGAGATGTCATCTCTCTTCGTGCTTTTCCTTGTTCCAAACGTGTTATCTCCATTCATGACACTGGGGTCAGTGCTGACGTACAAACTGGGGATTAGGGAAAATTCTTTCTGCAGCTTCATGATTTCCTGGAATTTTTTTTCTTGCAAGTACGAGGACGGTAAACAACATAAATTTCAGAAACAGTAAGATAAAGATGAAGTCAAAAAGCATGTGACAGGTGTTTAAGGGCCGATAAGCACTTCATGTCCTTTACTGCACTGAGATATGTTGATGAATATAGGGCAAAGCCTTCTCATGAGATAATAAAAAATGGAAAGCTTCAGGTCAAGTTTGACTGTCGGTGCCATATATTGACTTCTTCCTTGGAAAAGATGCATAAAAGAACCCACACTGTATGCCGGCGGTTCTCACATTTTTTTTACGTTTGCACCCCCTCCAACGACTCTGACTTAGTCACTCCCCCCCCCCCCTTTTCCTTCTTAGCGGAGTACCAGGAAATGGAGCTTACTCCAAAGATGTTTTTTTAATAAGTTGATTGATAAAATAAAATATGAAGGATTGCAACAGTTCAAGAATCGGGTCACAGCTAGGAATTGGATGGTCATCAAAGTTATGGAGAACAATGCCTACATGTTTATGTGCCCACAAATGATCATATCCTGACCGAACAATAGCAATAATGGCGCAAAGCGCATCTTCAACATCCTAACGGCCCCGAGTTTTCGATCTGCTAATGAGAGGAGACATATGAGAGGAGAATTTTCAAAAACCTGACAGAGACCTATTTATTTGGATAATAGCAGTGCATCAACACTGCACTGAGTATTCAAATTTCAGCCAAAAGAGACGCACGATCCATCTGTCTTCCTGATTTGGATCGTTGGAGACCGCTGATGAAAATGAACGCCCCATTGAAAAAACATCGAATTCCACAGCCTACACTAAGGAATTACTTTCATTCAAGTCTTGTACGCCTGGAGAGAAAGCCAGAAAGACCTAGGTCTTTTATTTCGGAAAAAAGTGCAGTTTTACGTACTAATACGTACCGCTACTCTGCTTAAATCTACTTTCCTTCTCAAGGGTGAGAAGAAACGTAAACATGTTTCAATAATAATAAAATAATATCAGCCATGGTTTTTAATTGCGCATGGTAATAAATTGAGAAACAAAAAACTAAAACCCTTATGACCTGTCGCACCCCCTCTGGGGCCCTCTCGTGCCCCCCAGTTTGAAAACCGCTGCTGTATGCTTTTCAATTATATTTGTCTTCTTGTGACACCATGATTCCAAACATGGGTTGGTATGAATATTGAATTCTCCATATATACACACCAAAATGGGTCACCTGACCCGTTTCAGTTAGTTGTCGATAGGTCTGTGCTTGAATGAAGTCTTCTTTTGAAGAATTTTATCAATCACATTTTGCATATCATCCCATTTTGTCCGCGTTTTTCAGGCGAATTCATCAGAAGCTTCATGGAGTCTTAACCCTCGCTTAACTTCATGAAGCTTCATGGAGTCTTAACCCTAACAACAAAACAGAAACTGGTCATACCCGCTGACTTGGTGGATGACATTTGTTACGATTTGACTCAGTAAGTTGTTGTGGTCACTGAAACAGATGAGAATTGGATGGCAAAATAATCACAAGTGATGACGCAAACAAATGCCAAAAAATGTATAGATACTTTTGCGCCATCCTGTAGAACAAAGGTAAAGCCCACTCGACATCGTCCCCTAGTGTCAAATTCGCTGCCTTGGTCACCGTCCTCCAAGGAGTTCTCCCCGAAAGGCTGAGCTTGGGGAGGGGGGGTGTGGGAAAGGACTCACGGTCTTTCGGTCCTGGTTGTCGGATACCAGGGTTTGGATGCAGGCCGTGATGGATCCCGAGTCTCCCAGGTTCGGCTCGTCGGGGAAGGCGTCTCGGAGAATGAGGGACACACTCTCTTGCCAGTTTTTCCTGCGGCAGTCCTCTTCTTCCGCTTGCTGCTTCGTCGACGACAGCTCTCCTGTTCGCAAAAAGGGAGGAATCTGATTATTAGTCTGGCAATCTTGTGGTGGCACGGCGCTCAACCCTTTTGACAGGGATGGGCGAAGAAAACTGGAACAGTTCCTTATCCTTATGCTAATTCCTTGGATTATCGAAACTAAAAAACCTATGCATTCGTCCTAAATGCAAAGAACCCTCCGATCGAGAAGAATTTGAGTCTGATAGAAAATTGGCGGTTGGAAAGTTACGTCTGTCTGTAAGTCTGGAAGAGATTGCTTTCGCAGACTCTCGAAAGTATCCCACTTGTTTTTGTGCTTCCAGCGCCTTGTATTAAAAATGGTAAAAATCGTGGGTTTTGACATCTTTGACACCCTTTCGGCAAAGCGTTAAACACTGAAAGTTGGAAGGTTGCTGGCTGTCACGTGATACGAAGCCTAATCCAGATTTTTGTAGGTTGAAATATGAATCTCCACAATTTTCCAGATGGGAATATTCAATTACACGTTCTCCATACGAGAATTCAGTGTTCAATGAAATCTATGGAACCAAATGACATTCTGTATCTACATCATGGCATTCACTATCTAACGTCATTGTCACAAAAAACGCTTGATACCTTGCTGGAAGAACCCTGAGCGAACAGGAAAATTTTTCTCATACCAGGAATCTATTCCAAACCTTCCCTCAGCTCACGTTAGATGTCTCACGTGAGGAATTGTAGTCCTCGTTCCTCTTCTAACGCTCATTTAAAGAGCCCTCACCAAGGGCCTCTTGGGAGTTCACTGTCTAGGCCATGAAACCTTGGAGAAGATGAGGTTGAGACGCGCAGGGGAATCAGCGCAGGGGAATCCTGAGACGACCGCTGAGGCGAGTGACTAAGAGCAGCTATGCTGTTTTCATGGGATTATTTTTTCCGGACGCAAAATGAATCAAGTTGTTGGAGGCGGCCGAGTGCTCTCTCTTTCCTCACTGGGAGAGAATGTACGCTTGGTCCTTCTCTTAAATATTCACTGATGTAACCAAGATGCTCATATATCTTAGGATAAAGAAAGGGGGACCCGAAAATGGGATTCGGTGCATTTAGTTCATCTTCCTACGAAAGCCCATGAATTTGCCAGCAATGAAAACTGGTTGCTTCTATCACCAGTAGTTACTAGAGCACAAGCCTTCTTTTACTAATTTGTCCATAGTCACTCATACATCATCGGGTTGTGTTTCTCAAGTTTGGACCAGAAGGAATGGCAAACATACAGACGAACATATACCAGTATATAACGGATGGAATGGATTGTTGAAATCGTGCCCCTGTTTCGAGTGCCAATATTTCGAATTAGATGTCCGCTCCAAAGCCCCTTTCTTTCCAGTCACGTAAGTAGATAGAGCAGATTCATCGAACCATCGCGGCAATAGACTCCCCTCCCCCCATATTAGCGTGTAACAGTTGAAAGACCCAAGCTTGCATCTCAGCCAAGTCAACGACGAACGACAAAACAACTCAAAGGAGCATCGATGTCCTGCCGATCCTCAAATCCATGCGACAGCAATAGCCTCGGGACAAGGACATGTCCCGCCCCTCTCCTCCCTATTTACCCAGACGACCTTAGAGAGAGGAGGGAAATGAGGCTTGAAGGGCAGACACGTGCGTCACGGCTCCCTCAGAATCTACGTTCAACCTTCTTCACGTCTAGGAAGAAAACAGGAAGACTGTCTGCGGGACGGGCTGATGATGGCAGATCGTCGCAGTAGATGCTATTGGACAGACACGTCCTTGCGGTTAGCGTTAATTGAAGGGCTGAAAAGAAAAGTGGTCTATCTGCAAAAAAAATTTTTCCTCATGCAACACTCGGAAAGATTGATGCTGTATTTCAGTGACCGACTTTTTAAAAGCGAGCAAAAGTGATATGCCCTTTTGAATAATTCCAAGCAACTACCATTTTCAGTGACGAAAAAGGGTAATTGAGCATTAAACCAACCATACTTTTTTTTCAGACATTACTTGCAAATAGACCACTTTTTCTTTCAGCCCTCCGTAAGTGCTCCTTTTCTCGGCTAGCATTCTCTCGAGTCCCATTGATAGGCATCATCCCCGTCACATCACCATTTGCATCCCCTACATATCTTACGTTTCCTGAAAGTGATGTCAAGAAAAAGTTTTCGATGCTCTGCCAGAATCATGGGATACTAAAACGACGCAGAAACTTAGAGGTGATGGCCTAAATACCCGAAGACTCAAATATTTTCTCCCTGGCCTGCCTCAGACTTAGACCAGCAGCAGCAGCCCGACACCACCTGATCCGATAGCCACGCGGGATGGGTAAAGCCACCCGAAAAGGTTCGATGCCTTGAAAGATCACCTTCCAGCTCGTGGATCCTCTTCAGGGCCTCTTGGTGCCGATGCTCGAGGGTCTCCGACTCCTTCCTCGTCCAGTCTAATCGAGCCTCTTTTTCGTCTGTTTCTCTCGCCAGGCGGAGCTTCTCCTTCCCCAGGTCCTCCAGTTCCTGTTGTATATCAGCTTTACTAAGGTATGAATCGGAGGTGGAGGATGGAAGCTTGTTTGTATGAAATATTGCTTGACCATTCGTATAAAATAATACATCTTTGAGTGAAATTATTTTACCTCTAGATTCGTCGAATTTTGCGCAAAAGCAATGAATCAAAAGCCGCCAAGCTGGGATTTGAGGATCTTACACATGAAAAACGCGATTTTCGTCTTGCAACTTCGCCCGGAGTCTCTGTACTAGGCTTCTTTCTTTTTTCCCTTTCATGGTAATCAAAATTCGATAGAAAGCGAGATGAGAACCCTCTCCAACGTCACGACTTCCTTTTTATTTCCTTCAAATTTTGGGCGCCCTGTGCATGTTTCCCCGTCGATCTTCCGAACCTATTCCGTAAACCGCACCTGCTTGAGCCGTTCGACCGTGGCGGCGAAGGAGGTCCGCTCCCGATGCGCCATCTCCAGCTCCGAGATGAGCCGGCTGACCGTGTCCCGGCTGGTCCGGCGCTCTGACTCCCGGCGCTCCGACAGCTCCTGAAGGTTTTCCACTCGAGTTCGCAGGCTCGCGTTCTCCTGCAATGCGTCGTGCATGTTTCATCTTCCTTCTCGAAACGCATGCACGAGTCTGAGCATTTTAACGTTATGCAAGGTTATGGTCGTTATGATACCGTGCAGGAATTATTTTACTCGATTTGACACTCTGCTTGCGAAAATGTTAAAAATCAGACCTTGAAAATCTCAGATCCGTATCGAGACAGTTTTTCTTCCTTAGCAGTCACCCAGTAGCACAGGATATAGGATCAATATTGGGCCCATACCGTTCCAATACATACACTCTGCTACCGAGCTGAGACTCACCGTACCTGAACGATTTCCCCGAAACTCTGGACCAAGTCGAGATTCTCCTGGATCCCGGCCAAGCGAAGCAGCCCCCCGAGTTTCTTCATCAGATCGGTGTAGACTTGCTTGCTCTTCTCGGCCTCCTCCTTCCTTTCCGAAGACTCGCCGCTCAACGACCTGCGAGGGCGATTTGCGTCGTCTTTAACTCTCTCGTGCACACGGGTCAAGTTTGAGGTCAGATGCATTGTAGTTTTTAAATGAGGTTTTTGGGACCAGTGGCACCCTCAAAAGCATGAAGTCCACTTATGAGGACAGCAATTAGTTCCACAAACAGGTCAATGTATGGCAGGATCATTAATAGTTGCGTATTTGCCTTCAGAACATTAGAAATTATCAGTTTTTTGCTCATCGCATGTAAAAAATTCATGCATGAGAGGTTTAAGGGGGAAAGGGAGATGCAGTTTCATTCTGCCTGTTGAGATCCACCTACCTGATCTTTATGTCGAGGTCGACGACTTTCTCTTGGAGCTCTCGGTTTTCTCGCCGCAGGAAAGCCGCTTCGTGCTCCTCCTTTTCGTGCAGGTTGGACAGGGAATAATTTCGCTCCTCCAGACCCTGCAATGTCGGTGGCTTTCACTTTCCTCCGTCAAAAACTTAAGGGATTAATGGGATGCGCAGCTGCGGATGTTTCGAAGATCGAGGAGTGTCAATATCGAGGACACATGGAATCGATTTTTGAAAATGCCTAAAGTGACGACAATTAACTGGAACGTTCAAATTTCGGATTATAAATTGGTATCATTCTGGTATCTAATTGAGATTGATCTAGATTCTGCATGGGTAATGTGTCTTTTGAAGATTTTTAAAATCGCTTTTATGGAAATTACTTGAGTAGAACGAATGGCCAGCGAGTGAGAAAACTCATTCCTATTGCGGAATCACAGGTTCGTTGGATTTGAAGAGGGTTCATAACTTCGCAGTAGAGGTTAGTTTTCTTTCTCGAAAGACTATTTCGATCAGATGACAGAAATTTGGGACCGTAGGTTAGTGTCTGTAGGATGAAGGGGCATGTAAGGGCATGAAGACATCTCTCTGTCTCAAGGCGCTGTTCCTCGTTTGCCTCTCGCCTGAATCTACGAATGGTACCATTGTGAGATACGAGAGGGAGTGATGGATGGTCTTGTCATAGAGAGTGTAACTGGAGGCGACAGTCGACTTCAATTCCATTCATTGACAGGGTCGCAATATAGATGTCGCTGTCGATTCTCCACCTAGCATTCATGGCACCTCTCGGAGTGACGCCTCTAGTTGCACTCTATGGCCTGGTCTCTGTTGAGACTGCACGTGGGGTTCTGAGGGGAATCGGTTTTCGGGTGCGAGGCATCACTCGGTGGGCATGCGCACGATGAAGTGTGGATACTAGGTTGTGAATTTCAGGCTTGTAAATTTTGGTTCACGGGAAGAATTACTATTTCTGTACTTTCTCGATGAAATATTAATGCATGAACGATCCTTACGTAAAACGAAACCATACGAACAAGTCGCGGGACTGGCATCTCAAAAGTCAAAAGTATCAATTGCGTTACCAACTTCCGCTTCCACCAATAAACCTTTCCCGTCACAGACGGTGACTTTTACCTGAATCTTGACCCTGAGAGACTGAATGATGGAAGACTGCCTGGCAGTGAGTTCTTGCAACGAGTGAAGCTCCCTCTGTAGCTCCGTCAGACGGCTCTCCCTCGTCGCGCAGAGGCTCTGGCTCTCCTCCACCTGCGTCGTGCATGATTCACGGGGTGCTTTAGTATTCTGGGCGACAAAGGAACGTCTCAAATGGAGGGTTTTGGGGCTTTTGGGGGACGGTATTGATCCAACAAAAGAACAGGACCGAATGACGTCTCGTGACGGGGTTTTGATTTCCTATCACCGAGGGAGATGGTCTCACTTCGTTCTGGAGTCTCTTGCATTTCACTTGGAGGGCCGCCAATTCCCCTTTGAGATTGGCAGTGACGTCACCGTCGAATGAGCTCTCCGATCTGCTCACCTGCTAGCAAGTTCGAACTGTTAGAAGCATGCAGCAATTTGTTTTCGACAGCTGACGTACAGTACTTTTTCCAGATCTATTATTTTTTCATTTTTCAATATTCCACGCGCTCAAAATTGGAGCAATATTTTTTTGCAACTCTGCAGCCCCCCCCCCCCCCCGGGATACGTCAGGAAATAACTTTTCGTCGTGAAATGAAGAGATGGAGGGAGGATGGAGATAGTGCGGGCCTGAAGCAAGAAAGCAGAAGGTAAAAGTTGTTCGGGAAAAAGGATGGTTGTGTCCGTCCGAACTTTTATTCCCTCTCAACACCCACTTCCGATACATGTGAAGTTTAACTTTTTCGATAAATGATGCGTTTAGCATCAACTTCAAAGAGAATTTCCTCCTGTATTCTTGCCCTTGGCCAGCTATTTATGAGTGACTTTCTTGACGCACCGCGGGGGGGGGGGGGGGGAGGAAGAAGAAAGGAAAAAGAAAGTCGACTTTTAACAAAATGTTGCTGAAATGGACAACGGAAATAAAAACGTAATGCTGAGTATTAAAAAAACTCATGTACGACCCATAAATCGTACATTTGTGCTAAATGGTTGCAAAGAGGGAGTAAAAAAAAGGCAGCATAATTCCCATGGTCGCGACCCCCGCTTCTCCAGGCAAACAAAACCCCCGAGACATAACCGATCCCGGGGACTCACGTGACCGCAGGGATCCACAGTGGGAAGAGCGACGTAGAGCGACCTCACGCCCGCCTCCACCCCATTCTCCAAAGCGACGGACCGCGGCGACGGAAGACCCTCGGAGAGCTCCGAACTCCCTCCCGGCACCTGCATACCATCGCATCGTTTCGTTGAGCCCAGACGCTTTAACAGCCTTCATGCCCGTGGACGTATGCATGCAGGCCGGATGAAGGGGGGAGCCCAACACATAATGCGGCTGGGAAGGGTCCATCGGGCAAAGAAGTCACGATAGGGCCAATCTTCTCTATTGAGCCTTCGCACGGAAACTGCCCCCATTATCTCATACATCATCATAATCTTCCATATTCCCCTGATGGTCTCCCTATCCATTTCCTTCTCGTCCCTGTCGGGATCCGGAAGCTGGATTTCTATGGGACTTCTATGGGATGCCTGTCTGCAATTCCCAGATCCAGCTCCTGCATCTACCTGGAAAATTATTTGTATAGCTACCCTTATCTTTACGAGAGGATAGGGTATCGCGTGACCTTTTGAAGATGCAGTCGAATGGATTCATGGTATTTCGGGCTCAAGGCACGACTGGGTGAATGGTTTCGACCAAATAATCCGAGAAAACTGTGAGCATCAGCGAAGGGCGAATTGGCCTGGGTCCATAGAGGCAGAAGAGCGCGAAGAGCCTCGGCGAGACCACACCCTTGCCTTCAGATTGAGGTCAGCTCGATGGATCTCGTTCGCGGGAAGACCGAGGAAGTAGGAGGGAGAAGGGCATGTCAGAGGTCAGAGGTCAGAGGAGGTCAGTCGGTCTCGAGCCAGCTCAGCGCTTTCCCAGACCGGAATGGAATATCTTAGTGAAAGCCAGTGGCTCCAAGGACAAGGACAAAGCCATGCGAACGATTGAGGAACTCAGACTTTGAACTACCTACAGGCTCTTCAAGGACGGCGAAACTTCTCATGTTCCCTTCCCAACGTGTGGAACGACGCAAGAATATCCTTCTCACTCGTTTCGCTTTTCATGACCTACGAAGAGGATGGATAAAATGATCGTGTTCCTGTAGGTGCTGTTGCCGGCATTCAGGCTTCTTTCTGCTCGTTCGCTCGACCTTTATATCGACCATACCACCTGATGTGAGATCTTCCAAGTTATCATCCGCCTCTTTCGAAGAGAGATCTGGACTCTCGAATCCCCAAATTTCTCTCCATGGACTGGATGAGAGCAGCCACCCTCCTCGGACGAAAACCGAAGAACCGCCTCTACGACAAACCGATGCTCGGCCAGGCCAGTCCCTCCAACCCCAAAACATCCGAGTCAAACGACGAAAAAATATACTAACGGAATCATGAAATCCACAGCTGGAAATCCCCTCAGACGACAACTCGAACCCCCCAAGCCGGATCGAGAAGACCCTCGCGGCGATGGCAAAAGCAGCAAAGAAGCTCCGCTCGGGCCTCCGCCACCACCCCCTCCGACCTCGGACACCAGATCCCGAGCCCTTCGATCCACTCCCACCCGAACCTGATTCCGAACTCGATTGAATATGTTTCTCGACGATAAATCTGCCCTCGAAATTCCCGAAGTAATTGCTATAAATACTAATTAGTTTAAATGATTCTTTAAATTCAGGTTCCTATGCATGGTTGGGATTTTCCATCTTTTGTAGTTCTGATCGACCTGTCTGCTGATTTGCGTCTGAACTCATGAGATACATCTAGTATTGGGCCGAGTGAAGGACTCGAAATGACAGGACTTTATCCCCTGTTTCCGCCATTCCCCTCCTGTTTATAGGGAAAAAATCTCCAATCCGATCTGCTCGTTACGCAAAAAATCGACTAGCTCTAGGGTCTGCTTGGGAAATGTGCAATCTGGTTCCATCGGACGTCGACGTCAGAAGTTACGGTTCCCTCCCTCGCATAACGACGACCATCTGTAGTGACAGTGAATGTCACCAGTGAACGGACAAACCACAAGAAACCTTATCGTGATATCATCTGACAGCCCACTAATTCACAATTGAAAGCACTGAAATCTTTAAGTAAAAACTAAAGTAACTAAAGACTTTAACTAAAGCTTTAACTTTAACTAAAACTGACTGACTTCTTTAACTAAAGACTAAAGTAAAACCTGTTAAGTTGGCCCCTAATTTTCTCTCGATCGCCCAAGTAAGAAGTAGTGCATAAGCACGACTTGAAATTTCCGTATGCTCCAGCCGACCACGCAAAAGACATCCTGGATGCCCCCTAGATGCCCCCTGAATGTCTCCCGTACGCCCCCAGACGCCCCCCTGCCCCCTCCTGCAGGAGACGTGATGGTCAGCCACATCGTTCCTTTTACACGTATGGAGCCTTTCTCATCCGCGCAGGTCTTTTCCTCCATTCCTATCCCCCCGTTAGCCACGGGGAAACAGGAAGGGCAGTGAAAAGATCTGAGCAATAAATCAGGAAGACACGAGGCCCCCGGAACGAGAGCCAGGGAGACACCGTCACGCCATTCACAACTCCCCTCCTAGGAATATCGATGTTTCGCACCCGCAGGCTCCAGGCTACATACACCTACAAAGGGGAGATGTCCCCGTGATTGAATTCCCCCATCCGCGAGACAAAAAAAGTCCGCTAATCGATTATCTCCCCCCCCCCCACCCCGCGATAATGAGACCGTCACCAGGCGACAAAAAAAGATCCCCGTCCGCCACGAACGCAACAGAAACCTTCGAACCGCAAGAAAAACCCGAAGAAGACGAAACCTGGCTCCTTTATCTAATCGCGATGGGCTCCATCCTCCTCTTGGGACTCTCCTGCCTCGCCCACACCTACACCCACGCCCACGCCCACGCCCACGCCCACACCCACGCCCACGCCCACGCCCACGCCGCAGAGGACCGCCGGGCCCTCTGGGATCGCTTCCTCGCCCTTTGGAACTTCATCTGACGAAATTCCAAGACGAAAAGAAGCCATGAAATAACCCTTTTGCAACCGCCATGCCCCCAAGACCCGGAGCATCCAGCCGATTTGACACGTCACGTGCCCCCCGGCCCCCCACTCCCCTCCCTGCCCCCCTCGACAGATTAATTGTATTCCGCTCATAAGTGAGAAGGCAAATGAATATCCGGTCATGGAGAGAGTGTGCCGAGGAGGAGGAGGAGGGACGCCGCACGTGTCTCCATGCCTCAGCCGTTCCTATCGACCACGCGGGGGGAAGAGGGGGGGGGGGGAAGGGGGGTAGTGGGGGGCATGAATTTTTGATTCTACGATGGGAGGGGTCCATGCATGCAATAAAGGGGGAACTCGTTTCAGTGCCCCGCGAGGGGGGGGGGAACTCATTACGATTCCCCGCTTTTCACCATCTTCGGTACGGACCGCGTCGCTGTTTCGGGTTTCGAGGGAATCCGTCGCTTCCTGTCTTTAAAACTCGGAATGAGTTTACTCGACTTCAACTTTTTTTTTAAATTTTATTTTGATCCCGAGCAACTGAAGGGAGAGGTGGGTAATGGCCTCATTCATCGATTTCCCGAAGCCGCGTGGCAGACCGATTCCTCCCACGATGATTGACGACTGCAGCTGCTTCATTACTCGCCAAAGCCGCGAATTGCTTCATTTTGAAGGCGGTACTCGCGTGTGTCGAATTCTCGCTCGTGTGAGAACGTTTGAGAAATGCGTCGCTAAGATGACGGAAGTAGCTGATAAGATGTTGACGAAAAAAATAAGGGGGCGATATGAGTTTTGAAATTGTGAAATACGCTTGTAATTGTGAACCGTGGAAGGGGCTCAGCGGGCTCAGCCCCTTTCTTTCCCGTCGAGTGGTCCACGAACAGGTTGCCATCGGGCGATCGCATGGTGTCAATGCGCTGAAGGCGTGATGTCACGTTCATTAAGGTGTCTCTCGCGGTTAAGGTGCTTCACCCTGGTTAAGGTGCTTCACCCTGGTTAAGGCATCTACAGCTAAAATGAATTTTAACGAAGCTTGCCAGAGATTCGAGATCGTAAGCGCGGATGCGTCTATCACGCCAGACAGATTGAGTCTTGGGGGGGATCTTCGGACGAGGTCAAAGGTCACATCGAACCGCTTTTTTATTTACGTCGGTGGCACTTTCGCTGTAGCGGTGTCGAAGGCTGAGGCCGACTGAATCGGTCGCAACTCTCGCTATCGAAGCAGGAAACAAGGGAGGTTTCCCCCCTGCAAAAGGGGGGGGGAAGGGGAAGGGGATAATGTCTTCCTCTTCCTGGAACTCGGACGGGACGGGGCGGGGCGGGGCGGGGCGGGGGGGGGGGAATCTCCCCCTTTCCCATAACGAAGCTATTCACAAATCACCTGCTTTTAGCAAGAAAATGAGACCCGAATTGGGTCTACGGTCCTGCTATTATTTAAGGGACGGATTCTGATTTTTTTTTGTTAGACCAAGACGGAAAACCGAATCCAGACGTAATTAATTAATTAATATGCTGGAGAGATGAAATTTGAGGCTTTTTTATTATTGTCAATTGTGAGAGAAATCATTTAAATAAAATTACATTATAGAGTCTACATTTTGAGGAAATTCCAAGTTGAAATTTAAACATCTCGAGAAGCACCGCGCGACGACATCGCGACTTAAGGCGACTCGTCCGCACGGCTCAAGGTGACTCGTCCGCACGACTTAAGGTGACAAAGAAAGGCTCACCTGCAGCCACATCTTGGAGCCGGAAGAGCGCGGACTCGGATCCTCATCCGCCATCGGGGGGACTCGGGAGCAGCAGACGCTCCATCGGGAGGCTCCTCCGGGCTGCACGGGCTCGGCTCCTCTGGGCTGCACGGGCTCCGCTCCTCCGGGCTGCACGGGCGGGGCACAGACCGCGAAGGGTTTCATTGCGGGTCTCCCCGGCCCTTTCGTAGGGGGATCGATCCGGGGAGGCCTTCGCCGAGTATCGCACACCGTTGCCTGGGAGGGAGAATGTGTGCTTAAGGGGGAAGAGGGAGTCAATAGGGAGTCAATGGGGCAGTTTGGGGTGTCGGACCCAATTTGACCATATGTCCGTCTTTTGCATTCCCTGTTGTGCTTTCGATGACGATGAAAACTGAGAGGGGATTTAAGTTTGAATTTAAATCGCTCGTAGCACGAATGCTACGATCGGAGGAGAATTAGGACGTGGTGCGTATGCGCGAATTTCATCCTCGTCCGTCGATGCGATCTTACAGGGTGGCCCAAAAAAAATTGCCTGGCTCTTCGATTCGTAATGCTCTAAACCAGGCAACCGGGCGAGCTGGGTCGAGAAAAAAGTGGCAAAATTTCCATCTCGACTTCCTTCGAATTGTAACCACAACGTCCCGGTGCAAACAATAATGGTGCGACGGCGATTCCAAACTTCGAAATGGAGCACAATGCGACATAGATGAGTCCCGATTGAATTCGAAATTTGCGTCACCCCACTGCATACGCCGCCTGATTGTGATTTTAGTGGTAGGACTGATTCCCGATTACTGCTGAGCTTTCATGATAGAGAATTCCCATCTCGAAAGTGATTGGGAATAAATTATAAAAAATTCTAATTACTGTTCGCTATTGGACATGTCTATCCCTGATCCCTGTTATGAATGACTATTACAAGTCTCTAAAGCGATTGGAAATCTCTATTATAAAGAATGCTCCAAGTTGAAGACTTAAAATAGCCCCAATTCACATTTCCAACCGTTCGGGATTTTTCTCTGTGGAACTTACCAGTATTAACAGGGCTCCTTATTTCGGTAATTTAATAAGTTAAACTATTTTACGGTCGGTTGGGTACAGATGTAAGAGTGGGTGCAGTTGAGAAAAACTGTATTAAAAAAAAAAGACTTTTATTTCCCCGACTGTTAACTCATGCAGTATTGATGTGCATTTAATATTTGAGGAACCATGAATTTAAAGAGCCGACATGATTGTGGGACACCTCGCGTGTGCTTCTCGCTCATTGACATTTTCGGAGAGCGTTATTGGAATCGATTCCGCTTATTATTGTCACGTGGAAATTTCCGGAGATTTAGACAGATGCCGAGTTTTGGTGTCATCTTTTTGTCCTGAAGACGCGGATGAATGTCATAAAAATGTCATTAAAATGTATTAAAATGTCATTAAAATGTATTAAAATGTCATTAAAATGTATTAAAATGTCATTAAAATGTATTAAAATGTCATTAAAATGTCATTAAAATGTGATAAAAATGTCTCATCGATGCCTCATTGTGCTACCAGATGGGACGGCTTTCAGGTTTTGGTGGGAAAAGTTCGCACCCCCAAAAATTCCTAACAGGGAAAAATCGACTGAACTCGAACATTTGGAGAAAATTGAGTTGAACGCACAATGAACATCTCGACCGAACGGTCGGTCGAGTTGCCCATAGGTCGCCAACTCGCTATAAGCGAAGGCAATGGGCGTCGCCTGGAGCACATCTTGTTCAGATAAATGCTAGATAAATGTTCTATGTAGGGATGTTATGGCAATATTTTCAAACTCTCGAGAAACTATTCTGTGAAGCGTTAAAGATAACCGAATATTTTTTGCCCCCCCCTGTGGGCCAAAAAAAGCCCCCCCCCCCCCCCTCCCCTCCCCCTCCTCCCTCGAAGGGAGAAGAGTCAATCCCTAGCTTCCAAAACGGAAGTCATTTCCACTTTCTGAAGTACTGGGTAGCATTCATTATTGCTTCATACATTCAGTCACGTTTTGACGGTGAAATTGCTCCCCGGCACACGTGGCACATGCCCAAGGCCAGCCCTGCCAGAGGGTTTTCACAAAGTTCATTATCTGCCATTATCTGCCATTCCCATAGGTACAATGCAGACATGGCAGATATTGCGATCGGTCTCTCACATTATTTTATCATCAGCCATCCCTATAGGTACTATGGGAAAATGGCAGATATTGCGATCGGTCTGTCACCTATTAATATCTATATACAGGGTGTTCCGAAAAGATCTGGACGACTTTGGTTGCTAATAAATTGAGAACCACAAATGATAAAACAATACCGTTGATTTTATAGGTTCCAGAAACTCATAAAGTTTTGTGCACACTATCGATACACTCTAATATGCGCTCCGTTCCGCGCAGGACATGAAGGCGGAGGCCGCTTTCTTGCCGTGTTCGGTCCAACCACGTTGGCGTCCGCTTGAGCGATGGCAGCAATGGTGCGAGTGCGTTTGCCATCTGCAGGTTTTGCCAACTTGGTCTGGTGGACCACATCTTTGACATACCCCCACAGGAAAAAATCAAGGGGGGTTATGTCTGGTGATCCTGGTGGCCAGGCGACCGGTCCGCCTCCGCCAATCCGACGAACCTGGGAACATTCTGTCCAGGGTGGCTCGAAACGACTAAGGCCCGGTGAGGGGGAGCGCCGTCCTGTTCAAAGATCGGCTTGCAAATTCAGACCAGAATTAAGGCCGCCATCGGAATAATATATTTTTTTTTGCCTTTTTGAGCATTTTCGTGTTAATTGAAAATTTCATGCTTTAGATGTTGTTTTCATATTTTGTATAAATTTACCATATCATACCATATATTATATATTAAATAATTTAATTAAATAACTAAAGATGACAAAACTAATGGGTGAAAGAAGGCCTCTGATAGAACTGAGCCATGCTTAATTGCGCCCATCGTAGCGTAAAATGGAGCGCAAAGTCAGGAGAATCCGAAGAAATTGCCATAGATAGTAAATGTAAATGCAATGTTCATTGGAATGGACGCCAGGTCTGAAAGGGTTGTAGAAAACTAGTTGAGTTTGGTCCAATTTTTTTTTCCTCTCGGTACGAATAACACGAAGCACGCAGCGAAAACGTGAAGTCGATTCTGTGTAAATCGGACTCCCGAGTCTCCTCCCGCTTCCCCTGCAATATCTCATCTCTGATTTTTTTTTCACTTTATTTTTCACGCATGAAAAAAAAAAAAACTGAAAGAACGAGGTATAATGATTCCTTCATTATTCTTGCAGATTCTTCGCTGAACATCTGGGGAAATTTTCATGGAGATCCTGGGCATTTCTCTAAGTGAAAATCTGCATTTCGTTATTAAATGCTATTTATGCATAATTCATACGCATCTGATGGGCATCGAATCGATGCCAACCCGCAGGGCATCGTCAGAATGGACCAGACCATTAAAAACGATCATCTTAAATATGAGGGAAGTTTTGCGAATAGGACAAGGACCAAATTCAAGGACATTTTCAAGGACATTTTCAAGGACCAGATTCAAGGACATTTTTAAACTCAAACCGATTCCGGAACGGCTCGTTCTGGTCTCAGAGTTAAACGCTGGAACTAAAAAATACATTGTGTTTTTTATCATCGCAAATTATCGTTAATTACAAAATTGGATCTTATTAGCGGAGGCGGGTAGTCCGATGGCAAAAAGCCTTAAAGTCCATTAATTACCAATTACTTACTTATTTTTGATAATCCTACATCATTAACTGATAAACAGCTCCTTCCTGGTAATCTTCTGAGGGGAAGCTAATTATCGCAGAAATTATCATCCTTCCTTCCGTGGATTCCAATCGATAAGAACACGTGACCATTTTTCGCATCCCCTTATCATTGACATAAAACCTTCGCAAAACCAATTTTCGTTGCAAGAATTTCTTTCGGCAAAATTGCAATGGTCAGACGAACCTCATCGGTGAGCTCGGGGAGGAACACGGGAGCTGGAAGGACTTTTTTACTTTCGACTGCTGGATCCCCGTAAAGTCAAGTTCCTCGTTTTGAGATTTGAACAAATTTTTCGACCGATGGCATCCAGTGCGAGAAACCTTTGACGGACCTAAGCCCCTCATCTGGGGAGCGCGGTTTTATTCGCTCTCTGAACTTTTTTTTAAAAAGGTTTTGGATATATCCGCGCTCCTCAGTTAAAGAGTTAATACCGTTTCGTGCTTTAATTAAGATGACCTGGCGTAGCGAGAAACGCTTCGGGTCAAAAAACGTTTGCAGAGGAATCCAGATTGAACAAAGCAGGTAGCTCTGTCATTCGTCCGAGTTCCCTGACATTTGGACGAGAGGGAGAGAGCTCGTTCTGTGTCCAAAATTTTGTCCGCTGCTGGGTCTGACCGCTCTGAGCAGGAAGTCTTGGTTCCGGAGATGTTAGTTCCCTACTAGAGGTTCTGGGAATGACAGCGTCCTCTTTCGAACCTTCGCTGCAGATAGGAGTACAGAGGATTTTCACTAGATGTCACTTCCTCACAGGCATTTCGCATATGGCCGCGGTCTTCGTACCATCTTCGCCGACTGTTTGAAAAGATCGTCTGTTACTCGATCCGGCTCCCTGAAGTCAACTGTTAGCAAGCATGTTCTCCGGATTTCGCCCAGTGCCAGGGAGTGTCGTTGCTTCAAGTTCGCTTCAAGCATACTTTTTGTGAGTAACTTTCCTAAACAGCATACATAACGTTAGTGTAGACATTTGTAGTCTATAAGTGGTCTTTTTGGATTCTTCATCCCTTGACATTCCAGCCACGAAATCATGCCAGGCTTTCTTTTGGACGAATTACAAGGTCCCTATCCACTATCCATCCAGACATTTTACTTGCAAGTGTAGCAGCAATTCGTTATTTGACGCTGATATAACTGAATAAAAGATTGAAATTGTACATTTTGTATGTGGGTGCTGTTTTGAATGCTTTTCAGCAAAAATAGCCCAGAAAATGAACAGGAAATAACTCAGAACTGAAAGGGTTCATGTTTAGTGAAAGTATTTTATAGGTAATGACATCCGATCTTTCCATAAGTAGCTTTCATCCATTGAGAGTCTTGTAGCAAAAATTCATCCCAAAAATTACCGTAATTAAATTTGCTTTTCATGAAAGATGTGAATGAGTCGAGGGACTGTATGTCTGGTCTGGTCTAGCAGCTGCAGGCATGTACTGCACTTGAGCATACAAATCTCTGCCTCTAGGAACGTGTTTGGCAGCATCTATGCATGCACATGTGAAATGGGGTTGATCTAGAATGTATTCCGGGTGGCTGACTTGCTGCAACCTGTCCTTTTGTGTTAGACTCAACTTTTCAAATGTTGAGTTAAATATATGAGGAGTTTTCAAGTCACAGTGACAAAAATATATAAAAGTGAACTGACAAGAAGAGAAATCTATGGCTTCCCCTCCCATGAGATTCCAATTTGAGACAGAGCATATGCAGGTAGTTTCCTCTTGGATAATTTCATGAATGTGACTTAGGAATTTTCTAGAGGTATCCCCCTTTCTCACTGTCTCTCATGGGCAAAATATGTAACATTGTAAACCAAGGCCTACTTTGCATTTCAATTGCATTGTTGCAATTTTCAACTGGTTCATTTTCCCATTAAAAATTTTCCATAGCAAACTCAACTGAATTGATGTATTACTTCCCTGAATCTGGGCTAAACTCCCATTTTTCTGATTCAAAGGGTGGACAGGCATGGGATCCACCAAAGACAGAATCCACCTTGATTTATGAAGAACCCTGTGTGAAATTGACCAAAGTGGATTCTGCAACAAGGCCCTGCAGCTCAAGGCTCCAAAGAGACTGCGAGGAGGTTGTCACCTTGGGTGTTCCTAAGGGAGAAGCTGAAACATCTAATGGAGCTCCACCAGGTCAGATTTGACTTTCCTTGTATTGCTTACCAGAGACAATCCTCTTGTACAATCCAACAGCTCTTCAATGGGCCTAGAGTAAAGTGATTTTGTATTGCATTATCTTACTTTTAGATTTGATGAATACTGACTTTAGCTACATTCATGTGATAGGTAGCAATCAGCTTTAGCATTCAAATCCATATCTCCATGCCTTACCCTTTAGAAAGTTACACTAAGTTTAGATGTTTCAGGTGAAGAGACAAAAAGGGTTCACAAAATGCAAAGGCAACTTCTCTCACTTCCTTGCTCGTCGGACATGCAGAAGTTTAAAGCTCAATCTTATAAAATGATGAGCCAAAGAAGGATGTTTCAAGGACATAAATATTGAAATAAGGAAATGGAAAGTGAGACACACACATAAAGTTACCTATTATCTCATTTCTTTATGAACAAATAACTGCCACTTTTAGACAAGCAACACTGGCTTAGCTTGCCTGAAAGTGACTCTTAGCTTTCTTGAACCAGTAGTGTGCTATGCCTATGAATGATTTCAGCATATCAATGCCAGAAGTTGCATGAACTGAATGTCATGTTGCCGTCTGGGGAATTTTTATTATATTTCTAGTGTTCTCTTGCAGAGGCCAGATGGTAATTCCATTCACTTGAAAGGTGGTACAGTAGACAGAGCCTTGTGCTAATTTCACTGATGGACTTTGCATTATGGGACTTGGGATGATTGTGCAGACTGTGAACATCCTATCCTAATAAAGCGTGTTTATAAAGTCACTGCACTAAATGAAACTGGAATATCCCCCCTATGGCTGGAGAGATTTTCATGACATTTCAGATCATTATTTAAGTCAAAATTTATTTATTTTTTTTTTACAAATGTTTTGTTGAACAAAACAAATTGATTAAATTTGCCCAAGTGCTTGTAATGCTTGTATACAAGTATTTGTATCTTATTGTAGGTTGGGGTAAGAAGGTTGCAGAGTTACCATCAGATGAGCAGACTAAACATCTTGTTTAACATTGCTTAGGTAACCTGTTTTTGCAAATAGAAGCAGTGTTATTGGTTCAATGTGGACACTTGGAAAATGGAGCTCAGACTGGCTGAGCCCTCCCGTGTCAGTCAACAGATGTTAATGACCCTCATCAAGCACATTGAATAACCAGGAAGTTACAACTATTGTGATGCAACCATAGAGGTACAGCATTAATAATGTGGCTCCTCCTGTGACAAAGCTTGCCCCCCCCACTTTTTTCACCTCTGTTACTGGCCACAAATGAGTTGCAGGTCGCTCCTTTTGCTGTCTGGAACAGTCCCCATTGATTCAAAGTGCTTGATGAAGGTTGCCAACTTCCACTGACTGTTCAAGGTTTTTGGGACTCATTAAAAACCAAGGAAGGAAAAGTTTAAATAGTGAACACTAAAGTATTTATAAAGGAGTCATAAAAGACTTTGAACGTGGATCTCAAACAGTATTATTGAAGATGGTTCCTTGAGCATCCTACACCCTACATCAAAAAGTGCCTCAACCAGTTGACTCCATTGCTACTTTCCCCTTTTACTTATTAGTATGTGGTGCTGGAATTTTTTCCTTCTTTCCATTTTTCTTGTGGCAAAAGAATCTGTAGCCCTTCACTGACTTCTTTAGACATTTATGTTTTTTGTAATGTCAATCCTTTGACATTGAGAGCAAATTGTTCATTCTAAATGGATCAGACAACCAAGTGCAGCAAACTCATACCTCTAAATATGACAAATTCATGAAGCAAGAATGCTAAAATCATGCAATAAGACTATAATTCTCAGGTCTTATTGTAGTCATTTTTGACCTTTGGTGTCAATGCCAACATCTGCGTTTTTATCACTGGTTGAGGAATGGGATTTAAGGCAATATGAAATCAGTTTAATTTTCTTGAAATGTAACTAGGAAATACTTCACTGATACCCTTCACTGAATAGCAGTACTTTTTTCAGAGAAATGGACAGAATGATCAGTGGACTGTTTTTTTTTTTCACTTTTCGTGCAAGACGTGCTCTGAAGCTGTGCGAATTCTTTTAACAGGGAGGTGTCAGACGTTGGGGGTAAAGGAAAGAGTCCACGCCCATACTTCGCTGCTGGCCTCGCCATTCTTGGGTCTCACCAGCTGCTTCGGACGATCTGAAGTGTCCACATCGTTGACCCAACCGACATCTCCAAAATGCCTTGAAGTTAAAGTGGACTTTAGTTAAACAGTCTTATCTGGTGTTGATTGAAAATTATTTTAATCTGTTTCCCATGTCTTTCGTCAAATGAAGTCAGCTGAATTCTAAAGAAATGGTTTTATTAACGTTTGCATGAAGCTGCACAACTGCATCAAGAGCATGAGAAGTCAGAGGTAGGTCCATGATTCGAAGAGAGTACTTAGATGCTCCACGTCCATGTAAGCAGACGAAGAGAATGACGTGAGGGGAGAGCAGACGTCCCGCCTGACGTCATTAGTTCCTTTGGCAGCCGGGGATAGCCTTGAATAGGTCTGAAAGATACTTATATTCTTGTTACTCCTTGGTGGCCGTGGGGTAACGCGTCGGAGCAGTTATGCTCGATTGTTGACGTAATCAACCTGCACGTTAAAGACGAGGGTTCAAGTCCCTGCCCTCAAGCTTCCCTTTTCCCTGGGACCAGTTCGGAGTCAATCCCCGGGTGTAAAAGTAACGTTAAGGGGATCAGTTTACAGGGGGAAATGCCCGGGCGTAAAGAAGTAATATTAAAGGTAAACCCAGAGGGAGAGGGGGTGGGTAGGGACCCGATCGTCTGCGGTTGACCCACGGCCAGAACCAAGGAGGAAGTTTTGCATCCACTGACTTCCATTTTTCATCAGCACGTGTGCCCTATCCTGCCAAGTAAAATAAAATGGAGTTGGTCGAATAACAACTTTATTGCATACCTGAATCAACTCAAGGCGATAAAAAAAAATTGCGCCACTGGAGTTCAAATTTGACCTGTTTCCAGACCACTTTGGTTGTTCGAATATGACTGTTGCGATTTATATTTGTGAAAAGGCGTATTCGTATTTTTGCTTTCCATCGAAACGATCTTATAGAGCCAAGTTGTTCTACGATACTCCAAGAGATGGCAGTACAGAGTTCTAGACCGCCATCTACCATGGTTGATTGCAATCTCTACGAGATAACTCCAGCGGCGCAATTCTATCGCTCTCAATATCAAAATATATCGATAACAAGATATGGAAATGATATTAGGCAGACGTCTCTATGTGAAGGTTCCTGGGGTCTTCTTTCCTTTCCCTTCTATCTGGAAACCAACAGGAAACGTGCGTCGCAAATATCTTCTCCAATCTGTGAACAAGGAAATACAGAAGCGGAAGTATTCATTCCTGGCTTGCGTTTCTCCTCAAATGAATAAGGAAAGGAACAAATCGATCATTTCCAGACGAATCGCAATCTTTCATTACTTCAAACCCTTTTGTGTTTATAATATATTCCTTGCTCAAATTTTACTCCAGTTTGCAATTTAAAATTTAATAGAAGTTATTAGGAAAGTTAAACTCTACTTGGTTTTAATTTGCACAGCGAAGCAGCACTTCCAACCCCGGGAAGGATTTGCTGCAAACGCGAAAAAACGGAATCTGGTGAAAGTTGGGGGGAGGGGTTCGAAAGGTAAAGCTTCAGTTACGGAATACGCTGTAGGTAGAAGCAAGGCAAGATTCTCAACTCATTTTTCCTGAGGAAAAATAATGAAATACAAAAGTTCCCATTCTTATATTGCCTGCTGGAAACTCCCAGTCCTGATTTAAAGGCTGGGGAGAACATACAGGAGAAAACAGCCTTTGCCTGTCGCAGAGCATCTCACGAGCAACGGGAGGTTTGGTGGTTACAGTTTTACAATTTTGCAAGTTTTACAAGATTACATTTGTGCCAATCCGTGCTAGTGACTCCCACACCTGGTTCTAGTTTCAGTTCAGACCAAAGTCTGAACTGAAACTAGAATCGAGCTACCGTTTTGAAATCAGCAATGGCATAGCAGCAACAAGCAACCGTTGGTTACAGCCCATTCTTGAAATTCCACAGACTGCGAGTGAGAGAAGGTAACATTCGGCTGCGCCGCTCTTCCCAACCGACCCATCGTTTCTCGGCATTTTCCGTCAAAATGGCAGAAATACAATGCCGTAAGATTAGTTCCGGTTTCATATAAACTCGTGCAGCTTTCCAAAAGGCAAACATGCACATTGCAGGGGAATAAACGCTGCACGGGCTGCAAAATTTAGGGAGGCTTAACTGCATCTCCACCAACGAACTAATGGCGAGTTTGATGAAGTGGACAGAATGCGATGGGGTATTTCCTAGGTGCATTCGGAAGAAAGGCGAGCCAGGAGGGAGCAGACAAAAGCGGAATGAACGGCACAGAAACTGACGAGACGGGAATTGCAATGCCACGCAGACATGAGGCAAGAAAAAAAAACTGGCCTTGGAGTGCCTCACTTGGTTTCATTGCACCGACTGACATGCTGTTATGAAGCTTCGGATTTCGTTCCACCCAGTGGCGTACCCAAGGGGGGGGGGAGGGGGGTTTGAGGGTCATAACCCCCCCCCTTGGGGTCAATTTTACACATTCGATTCTCACAAATTTTTTGATTTTGCAACAAATACAGGGTGGGTTATCAGTTTTTTTTTATGTTAACCCCTCCCCTCATTAGGGTGAGTAATCAGTGTTTCATTTGGCGACTCCCCCCCCATTCGGATTTCCTGGGCACGCCACTGGTTCCACCCCACAGTTGAACTTTTCCATTTTCCAGTCTATCATCAAAACTCATCTACTGTCGAAGTCAGCGGTGAAGCTAATTGTGAATTTGGTTGATATATTACCTCAGGCCCCACAAAAGCAGCAGAAATGGACTCACCCCAGACATAACGAGGAGGGAGAAAGAGGGAGAAAGTCCCGAGAGCGACCACGCTCCGACGTAACAACGCCACGGACCAGACTCGACTGGCGGAGAAGGCGGGAATTTGGACGAGGCCGTGCCAGGGTTGCCGGATTCGGCGTTCGACTTTTGTCCTCCCGGGGTTTCTCAGTCATACATCGCGTTACGCTCTTCTCTCAGTTCACTCCATTGTCCTGAAATCGTTTGGTGTTAGACCTGTCTCGGTACCGGGCGACGTCGTGAGATGATAAATTCGCTGGTTATCACTGACATTACATTCGCAAAATTATACGATATAGAACCAGACAACTGTCATAATATCCCAGAGTGGGAATAATTTCTACTTGGCGTCACGATATGTGATTCAGGACATCCTGATGTCAGAAAGCAGCAATCAGACTTTATCCCGTTCTCAGTCTCAAAACCTTCTCCTTCCATTCTGAGAGAATTCGAAGGAATGAAATAGAGCATATTGTATGCCCTCAAAAATCGCTTCGACAAACCTGCAGTTTATCCTCCTCAGGGATTGTGGAGGATCTCATTTTGCTCCGCGGTGAATTTAATCTTCCCGCAGAGCCATACCTGGAAAAGTTTCTGGTTCATGGCATTTTTACTTAACATTTTATTTTACTTTTTTTTCTTTACGCATATTCTCTCCGTTGTTGATCAACAGTTTCATAGAGACGAACGAAATTAGATCTCACCTAGTGTCCATCATCACCACAGTCATCGGGTATTGTATTTCAATTTTGAAAGCAAGCCTGCTTTCAAATCGCTGCTTCACTCTCCCTATTCGCACTGCACAATACGTAAGCGTTCGTTAAGTTGTTACGATGAGGTAAGATCCAACCAGCGCAAGTAAAATGATGGGGAAAAGACACAAAAGTACCCACTGGGCATCACTGAGACGAGCAAGAAAAAAAGAAATGTCATCGGGCATCACTGATAATGGCATGGCGCTTCACATGCTGGCGGATGTCGGGGGATGGCTATACAAGGACGCCCTCTACGAGACGGTACAACATGAATCAGAGGCAAAATTGGCTCATAACTCGAGGATTGAGAGTTGCGGGCAGAAAAGAAGGTTAGTCTAGAACAGGGGTGCACAACATACGGCCCGCGAGGTCCCTGTTTCCGGCCCGCCATGACTGATGGCGTTGTAAGTGCTACTATGGCTCCTGCCCTGTTGGCTACAGCTATGGTCAACCAGACTGCGGCCCGCGGTGAGTAAAAGTCGCAAGCGACCCACACAGTCTTTTGAGTTGTGCACCCCTGGTGTAGAAGGTTGTTCGTTGACTAGGTGATTGGGCGTAGACCCTGGGGCCTAGGCCCACGTGGTCGGGGACGTTTCACAGAAAGGCATTTCTCAGACGAGACCTTTTCGCCGACTGACTATTTTCTAGAATTGGTACCGTAGCGCAGAACAGAAACATTTATCCTGCCTGTTTTGAGAATAAAAGCCTGGGACAACGAAGTCCTCTTATTTCATATATTTGCCGAAATGGCTTTCGAAAGTCTAGTGAAGTCAATTGCCCGACTGGCCCAGGTGTGTATCAGTTTCAGTAATGGCAGCAGCCGGTTTTGCGCCTCTCAGCAGTTTCCTTCCGACGATTTTCCGATGGTTCTCCTCACAACATCGCCGGAAGCATGATCGTGAAATTCAGTTGGTCGTTTTACGAAGTCCATTCCACCTGTAATAACAGTCACGGCGCACCTCATGAATGCAATATTCCGTTCCTTTCTCTCCTGCTTGCATTGAATATATAGCCTTCCACCTTCAATTGAACGATTCCAAGTCAAATTCCATTGCCGAAACCATAAACGATACCGTTATGCCTAGAAACCGTCAAGGCTGAAAGACCTTCAGCTCGGCCGGCGCCTAGAAAACGACTTTCCGGGAAGCGATTCTCCTGGCTAAAACCTGTTATTCGACGAAGCGATTCGTCCGTGAAACGGAGCTTTCGGAGAATCGCTTTTCTACGAAACGGTCCCAGGCCCACTTAAATTCCCGCAGTCTACCTTATAATCATCGAATGGCAAGCCCAAATAATAAAAACAAATGAGAAACTCATAACGACCAACGAAGACTCGAAATTTCCACCCACCAAAATGCACGGCACGAACTACACAGCTTCTTCACCTCCAGAGCGCCCGCTCGAGTACACGCGCGGAGATGAAAATGTGGAATTCCATCTATGTGATGCCGGAAACTCTCTCGTCACGGCGATTCGTTCAATGTGCTCAGCCATGGAGTTTTTAATATTTTATCGGGGATTTTCCTCGGCAGTCATCTCAAACATTTCAGAGACTTCAGTAGTAGACATTTGTATAAATGCTGTAGAAATTGAAGGCCCTATGGTTTTATGATTTTAGAGCCCAAATGATAAAAAGGTAAATTACAACATCATAACTTTTACCCACCAGAATCAGGATCCAAAAAGGCAGAGAACATATTGCTGGGGTACACAAAATATTGAATTCTTATAGCATTTCGTTTTCTATTTTTCTTAAGTATCTAAGTAGGTTGGAAGTCTGTGAGCTCGCAAGACTTCTGGGAAATGAAAATCCAGATTAGAGTAATTGATGGAAGCCTTATCTGGCATTGAGGGATAATGAAAATCAATTAATGCAAATTAAGGCAAGGAGACAACTAAATAAATATTGGACCGATCTTATTCCATTCTCGTCTCTGAACTCCATTTTAAACTCCGAGAATCGATCTGTGGTGGTCAAACTAAAAAAAAAAATGGATTGTAAAGAATTGTAAAGCATCATGAATTCAGACCTTGAATTTACTTATTACATTTGAATGATAAGAACTTTCACCAACAACGAAAATCGAGTAAGTGCCTCTCACTTCCATGATCGAAACGAGTTTCACTTTTGTTCATCTCAGTCCTCTTTGGCCGTTGAAGCGCAAGTGGGAAATCAGGAAATCACAAAAAAATGTGCATAAAAAAAATAGAAAAATTTAAGCGAGAAAGTTTCTCTACTCGTAATTGGTTCAGAATATCGTCGTGCACTTTAGAGGGCTGACAACTATATCAAAGGAGCATATGCATGCTAAGTTATAACAATATCCGTTCAAGGGTTCTAGAGATACAGGAGGGAATTCAGAGTGTGACAGCCCTAAGGCAGTGCGGCCAGAACTTCATGGGCGCATGCCTCAACATTCAGTTGTGTGCCTCATACGCGATGGCTGACATGCGTTGCGCACGACCATAGGTGCATTATTCTCACCTGTTTCACACTTGGAAGAATACGCGTTGATTCACTTTGCACGAAAGGGAAAGGAAGCCAAAAAAGCGTAACAACCCTTTCCCATGTCTCTTTGGAGAGTTCAGACGGTCTCACCTAAAGCCGTCACTATACAAATATCCTTAAAAAAGTCCTATTGCAAAATATGCAGATAAAAACAGCGAAAGAGAAAGAAAAAGAGAGACAATCGGAGAGAAAGAGAGATAGTATTGGGAATCCATGGTTCCCATCCTATTATTGCACACAACAGCAACAACGGACTGTAGATTTTCTTCCTGTCAGAAATCAGTTCATAAGCATTGTGAGGATGCAATACGACTTTGCGGCAAAATTTTCTTTGCATCGCTTCTCCAATGACCTTGACACTTTTATAGATGTTCCTGGACAACAGGTGCTGCATGATCAAGAAAGTGATCTGTGGAACTCTAGCTGCAACATCCAACGTTTTCATATACCACGAATTTTAAGGTTGATTGTGTTGCAATATCTTGGTGTGAATATATGTACCTTGTCCTTGGCTCTAACTAGGTTTTTCATTTTTTTGATATATTGGCCATCTTTAGACCTAGGCCTTGTGCAAGTCCGAATCTTGCCAATGCAGATTAATATTTCTGTTCTTGCATTTAGTTCTCTTGCGGATTATGAATGGTATAAGGGTGAACAAGTCTGGGATTCAAAAAGGAAAACAGAAAGTCCAATGCCATGCTCTGGCTATGTGCTGCGAAGGCGAATCTGAATCAGGCGTTCTGGTCAGAACTTCTGAAGGGTTCCTGATTTCAGAAAATCTGAAAGGCACGATGTAAACTTGAAAATTTATATTTGACTCGATCATTGTGTTTTGCCCAACTCTGCTTATTGGAGTTTTTACTTCACTGGCGAACTGTGCAGGTAATCATGAACATGGTGAGACTGTTAACAAAGCGTGAGGTTCAAAGACTCGATTTTGTCCTGGTGTTGGGCAAGCTAAAAAAAAATGGATTGTGGAGTATTGGGGAAAGAGTATCATGATTTCATACCTCGAACTTTAATGACACACTGTCGTCACTCTGAATGATGCGACCTTTGACCAGCAACGACAATCTATTTCAAGCCTTTCACTTCCAATTTTCAAAAGTGAACACTCATCAAAGCAAGGGTTTCCAGTGGGTCTCATTCTAATAAAACTGCCTTTAATCGAGTAGTTTGCTGCCGTAAAGGCAAGATCTTCAGGACCCGTAGAAAAAAAAAAACAAAGGAATATATACCCCACGACGCACAGAAAATGACAGAAGAAAAAAAAAACACCGAGTCGGAAGATTTTACACCATTTATTGGCATCTATAAAATGCATCATAACAAAAATGTCCATCTTCCCTTTGTACACGACATTACAGAGAGACATAACCGCAAGGACAAAAAAAGGAACTCATCCCTTTCCATTCCATTCCTCTACAACGGAGACGGGGGGAGGGAGGGAACATCCATTGCCAACTCCGCCCCCGAGGGAGCCTGCTCAATAAATACGGTGTCGTGCTTCGGCTGGGTCGGGGGTGGTGGGCGAGGGAATCCGAACAAGGAACAAATTATGACCGAAGCAAAAAAAAAACTCACAAAAATCACCGACCTTTTCCCTAATGGATTTTCCTGGAATGTTTTTTTTTTTTCGAGCTTACCTCCCGTTCCGACTCGGACTTGGCACGTTCTGGGGCAACCCGACTCCACCCATTTCTTTTAACTTTTAACTCATTCCGACGGGCTTCCTTTCGCCCCCAAGTTTGCCTCCAAATATCGTGTGCAATAACTTATCTCCTGAGCATTATCATTTGGGAGGCAAATTTGGAGCGGAAAAAAAAAATGAATGAGAAATTTGGATACACGGATATGTCGTCACGTCGCCCTTTTCGTCCACATCAGAAAGCAAAAGGAAGCACTCTCGCGCGACTCACATTTCGCTTCAAAATCTCGGGAGAAAAATCTTTAAAAAAAAAAGAAAAAAAAGAAAACGTCGATTGGAATGTAAGGGAAATATATAACCCAAGAGGAGAGAGACACAGGGCTTGCATCACATCGTCTCGTGTCGACTCGTCCGGATTATCGTCTGGAGACTCGTGTGCGATATAAAGCTTTGCAGCTGAGGTAGAACAGTTTTCTTTATATCGAGAGACAGAATAATAATTATAAAAAAAACACAGAAGACTATGTCCAGATCAGTATCACTGTCTAAGCCTAGCAGGGGGAATTTTTTTTTCTTTCCTCTTTTTTTATTTTTTCATTTTGAGCTTCGCATATGCTTTCTCCCAACGATTCCAGACTCTTCATATCCTCTACTAATAATTTCTTCCTCATTTATATAAACAAAGAGCACTTATACATAGGAACTTTGGGTCGACTTTGTGGTGCACGATCGAGTTGGCTTTTTTTTTTCTCTCTCTCTCTTTATTTCCCCTCCCTCTCGATGGGATCGAGACACACTGGAAGACGGGGGAGACTCCAAAAAAGACAACAAACGAGAGGGAAAACCCATTCCCAGCAGCGTTTTGCACTCCCACCAAAAATATAGAATCATCGCAAAACAGGAGGATATCGTGTCTCGAGGCTTCTGGGATTGGATTTTCGCCTCAGAGGGACTACCGATTCGCATCACAAAAGCCAGGATTTTTCTCCTTCTCTCTTTCGCGCCGTTTGAGCACACTGAGGCCAAATATCTTCAAAAAGACCTATTGCGAAATATGCAGATAGAGACAGAGAGAAAGAGAAAGAGCGACAGTCTGAGAGAAAGAGAGAGATAGTGATGGGAATCCATGGTTTCCATCCTATTATTGCACCCAACAACAACAATGCACGGTGTCACACGTCGAGAGGACACGCGATCACGGACCCTTCATCATCACATTCATTGCCTCTCTTCGTGCTATTTAAAAAAAAAAAATCCCTGATATGAAATAAAACCAGCATGAGACTTAAAAAAAAAAAACCACTGGAGACCAAGCCCATGACTGAGGTACGATCGACTCGTGAAACAAAAAAGTAGAGTGGAAGAGATAAAGAGTGACGATCATCATTCAGACTTCATGCCGGAGCTATGATTCGGCGAGTCGTCTTCTCCCACGGGACTGTGATGATTGTTGGTGTGAAACGGACTATGGTGCGAATGCGACGTGACGAGCGACAGGGGCGTGGAGAAGCTCTGGATCCCGGGAGACCCGAACATCCCGCCGGCCCCCGGCGACGGCGTCATCGTCGGGCTCGTGCTCCCGAACGTGGAACTCGGCGGGTTGATCCGCTTCTCCTTCTGTCGCCTGCAACCGAACAATCTATCCACATCATCATCGTCTTCGGTCGTGGATGCTCGACGAGGGGCCCGGAGGGGGGGCAACTCCGCTGCGGGACCGGCGCCATCGATCGCGGATCCTTTCGGTCGACACTCTCGGCTCGGTGAGGCAGATGGTATTTACGATCGCCGTTCGGCGGTCTTTCCGCTGGGCGTTTCTGGGAGTCTTGGAACCACGGGCGAAGAGGAGCTACCTTCTGCTACCGTATCATCGTTGCTGTCTCGTGGGGGTTTCACGCGTCTTTAACGGCCGCAATGGCGTTTTACATTTACTCTTCGACCTTCGGGACCCATGTAATCAGCCCCGTGTCTCCCAGTCGGGGAGGAGGGGGTTGGAAAAAGGAAATCTCGGGGATTGCTTGCCGCTTAAATATTTAGACGCTGTTCTCACTTATGATGATGCAACCACTCATTCATTCATGTATTATTACTGCCCCCTCCCCAGGGGGGAACAGTCTTTCTTTCGGGGGACAGTAAATAATTCTGAAGGGGCAGTTGCCCTTTAGTATGGAAAGCGGACAGGAGGCAAGTTCCTGGCAACCGTAAGTGGGGTGAAGCAATGAACTCGTGTTGGGAAGACACGAACTCGGAGAGTTACGTGCAAGACGCCAGCGAAACGGAATCATCGTGACTCTGACGTTCCAAATCCCATGTTCAACTCAAGGACGCACACGAGATGTCACATGTGGGACGTCCCGATTCCTTTTATTCTCGGACGCCCAACAGACATCCAAGACAGGATATATGCAGATTCCTATCGTGGGATCATCGAGGGATGACCATCGTACTTCCCTTCGCGTGCTCGCGCAAAATCTCCCGCGGATATTCAAAAGACTGCCATCGACCCAACGAGTACGAGTTGCGTTATTAAAGATTCTTTAGCGAATGTCACGACGAAACCATGAAGCAAGAATACGGTTGCACGACATGGACACCTGACAGACGCCCACAACCGACAGCCACGGCTGCATTCCAGGACACCCAAAAAACGATACCCATCGTGCGTCTCGATGACGCCATCGAGTCGGACCGTTCCGTCACCCGTGGGACCACCCGCGAGTTTCGTCGGTCGGACCGAGCCGACCCGCCGCGACCGAGGCAGAACCGAAAAACGACAACGAAGCCGGTCCGGAGCCGAAGTTCCCTGTCTCAGCCTCCGGAGGACTCACCTGTTACAGAACCAGACCCGCACCACCTCCTTCTCCATCATGAGACTTTCGGCAAGCATGGAGATCTCCTCGGAGGTCGGCTTCGGGTTCTGGATGAATGCCTTCTCCAACGAGACCCGGACGGTCGTCTCGATGGACGTCCGCTTCTTCCGCCGCCTCCCGATCGCATCGGCCGTCGAATGCGGGCTGGCCAGGGACGCCGGGTTGTTCAGCGTCGTGTCTGCGTCCTCCAGCCACTTCTGGAGCAAGGGTTTCAGCTTGCACATGTTCTTGAAGGATAAGTTCAGAGCCTCGAACCGGGATATCGTCGTCTGGGAAAAGTCGTTCCCGTACAGCTTCCCCATTGCCAGACCGACGTCCCCTTGAGTAAAACCTAAACGAACGGCAGAGAGATCCCGATGAATCCCACCGCCACGGAGACCGGACGAGCAAAGTGCGACCGGCGAACGTACCGAGTTTGATGCGGCGTTGCTTGAACATCTTGGCGAACTGCTCCAGTTCTTCCAGGTCCGTGTGTTCATCGGGTGGAGGATCGAAGATGCGCTTCGGGGGATGCGGGAGCGGGAGCGTCTGCGAGGGAGGCGAAGGGATGTGCGTCGAGGTAGGAGGAGACAACCGATGCAACGGATGATGGTGATGATGATGATGGTGGTGAGACCGCGAGTGAGAGTGCGGGTGGTGGAGCGGCCCACCCGGCAGCGCATCGTAGGAGGTGGTGGAGACGTGTCCGTGCCGCCCAGACGACGGCGCCCCCATCCCGGCGGAGGACGCCGGGGAAAAATGCCACGAGGACGACGAAGACGAGGATCGCCCGCTCCCTCCGCCCCCGCTCTGCATCGACACCGGAAGGGTGTGCTGTTGCTGCTGCTGCTGCTGTTGGTGGTGATGCTCTTGCTTCTGGTGCTGCTGGATCTGCTGTTGCAGCAGTTGCTGCTGCTTCTGCAGCTGCTGGAGTTGCTGGGCAGCCTGTGCTATCGCCTGTTGCACCTGGGGGAAACATCGTACGACCCCATTAAGACCCGCTCCCGAAACCTCGACCGACTCGGATCGTCGCAACCGATTTCACATACACTACCACAAATTCCAGCGACGGTTCTTAAGCGTCTCTTGTTAATTGAAATCCATGCTAAACTTGACATATCGCTGATACCTTGCAATCAAAACACAAAAACGATTACCTCTTTCATCCTTGCCTAAGAGCCGAGAAAAATTCTTTCAAATTTCTTGCCAGGTGAACCTGAAGCAATGTTTTTTGATAAAGTCGCATCAGCATTAAATGCAATATGTATGAGGTCACATTGATATTCAGATGTCTTCTCGGATGACAACAGGCAAGTCATGACAAGCAGTGACTCATCTCACATGATGCGAGGGGGAACAAAAAAAAAATACCGACTGGATGGGACGGACGAAAAAAAAAAAACCAGACTGCCCGCGCATCTCGACCCGGAGAGACACGGAAAGGCATGCAAAAAACGATGCAAGGCCACTGAACCACCTCAGTGAGCAGGCCCAGATCCATGACCATGTCTCCAGGCAGACTCACATCGACGAGACTGGATTTAGTTTTTCTCTTTGTCACCGTCACGACTGCCGGGGGTCTCCCGGCCATGGTCATGAATGCGGTCTGCGACTCCAAATTCTCCCACATCGAGATGAAAGCATTCGGCTGAACTTTTCGTCAAATCTCTTCTTTCTGTCCCCACAGACCTTGCCTTCGCAATTACGACGCAACTCGGAGAAAGCGATGAACTCAGAGAGAATTATGGATCAGGCAAATCGAAACATTCCCAACCTGCGGCCGTTCCCAGCCACTGACCAAAAATCTCCCAGAAACGAGTTCCTCTTTCACCGAAGACCGAAAGGTAGGAAAAAAGAGAAAGGAAAGAGAAGCAGGTAAAACCCCAATCACCGTCACACCTCGCACTCCATCGGTGCAAAAATAGAGATTACAGCAGTGTTGTGGAACTGGAATTGCAGAATTGGAATGATTCCACTTTCTTCTTGGGACCAAAATCGACTTCGAAAGTCTTCTCCTTTCTAATTCCAAAAATTAAAAACTCGTGTGAAGCTGAGCAGCAAACTTTCTCGCTGCTCAGGCTTCGTACTCCAGTACAGAGCACGACTGACCCGAGCACCACGTCATGTCACGTCATGTCGACTTAATATTCCAACCTACCCATGTTCCACTCAAGTTCCTAACGTAATGCTTTCATAATAGCAACACAAAAAAGCTGTTCGTTGAACTTTCTGCGATACCTTTTACATCCGCTACGGTCACTCAGTCCTCGTGCGAACTGAAACCGGAAAGGCATCACCTCGCCTAACATTCCCGATCCCACAACACCGCACAGAAACAAGACCAGCCTCGCAAAGACGACGACACCGGGACTCATGCAAGCCCTTCGTCCAGCCTCACGTTTTATCTCGATGCCGGGATGCGAAACGCCACCCGAGCCCCACACCCAAGGGACGGGATAAAGACTCGACGAGTACCTGGCAAGCATGCAGCGGACCAGCGCAAGGATTTCCTCCCATCAAGGAAAAGGGAAAATGCATCTCCTGCGAGAGACACCCACATTCCAACACATGCAAGACGTTCCATGCATTCACCTCCTTCCCATCTAAGTGCAGGCAGAGAGGAAGATCGCTCGCACCCCGGGAGCCCGGGGATCCTCGCCCTACCTGATTCTGCAAGAAGAATTGAGTCTGGGCCGCAGCTGCACCGGGCTGGAAGAGCATGAACTGCTGAAGCTGCTGCTGGAGTGCCGTCTGATGCTGGCGGATCGTGTGTTGCAGTGCCTGCAACACCGACAGCTACAGGAAAAAAGAGACCATGAAGATGCAAGGCAAGCACGTATAAGAGTCCACCATCGAACCGGGCACACGGAACGTAACGGTAACGGATACGAAGAGAACAGAAGCAAAGACATTTAACGATGGAACATCCAAGTGACACTTCTAAGTAACAACGTAGTCGCCCGATAACATTGCTAAGTACTTCGTAACTTGACTTTCATTTTAAGACCCAGAAAAAAAAATTTAAAACCCAAAACCGATTAAGCCTGCCGTTACCAAAAGGAAACCGCTCCTCGGCCCAGTGTCGAAAGCGTCCATCCGTGAGAACGGACCGGGTCCCTGACCTGGATGTCCTGGGTGGGAAGCTGAGGGAAGCCGGGGGCGAGAGGCACCGGGGTGCCAGCCCCGGTGACGCCGGACGAGACCGAGACGGGGCTCGCCCCTTGATTGGCCGCTGCCGCTGCCGCTGCTGCCAGTTGGTTCCCCATCAGGAATCCTTGACCCTGGGCTGCACCGAGGCCCATCAGCTGAAAATAAGATCGCAGCATAAATAAACTCCTTCGTGTCCCGATCTCATGACCCTCATCTATGGAGCATGCCTGCGTCGGGGATTTTTAGGTCATTTCCGACATCGATAAGGTTTCTTTCTTTCTTCTCCTCTTGCCTCCTCCGCGTCATCAATGATGATGGAGAGGAGCAGAGAATATGTGTCGTCCTCGGGGAGTCGCAGCGCGCGAGGATATGGAGATGAAAAATTCATCCGAGGCCCCGCAGTCGAAAGAGAGAGATCTCATCTGGATTAATGAATTGGCTCCTTTCTTCATCAGGATCTCACTCAAGGTTAGCAGGGGTCATGAGAGTCTCGCCGCCCTCAAAGCACCCCCGTCGAGCGAGGTCGTAAAGCGAGTTTTACGCTTTCCGGAACGAGCAAACAAGGGACAACAAACATCATGCATATTCCGTGCTCGCCGGATCACGCGACGGAGGAGGAAGAAATAAAAAACGACTAAAGCATGTCGCGAATCTGGCCATGTTGAAACGCAAGCGACCACAGCTCATTAAGGGAAGCGTGAGGACATTGAATGCAATTAGCAATGATGACCGTGGGCGGCCACAGCCTTATATTCCTTCCAAGAATACCCTCCATGCATGCCCATTCCATCGAGGCTTACCTTACCTCTCCGCTCGCAGAAGGGAAACAAAAAAAAGCAACGAGGTCGCTTCGCGTCGCAGCTAATGAGATATGATGCAATTTTCAATTCGCCCAGCAAATCATACGGAATAGAAACCCCCCCGTCATCTTTCCTCTTTCCTCATTCGCACGACGACCCGAAGGCGGGCGGAAAAAGTCGCGGGACCGTTTGTCTACAGAAGAGATGACCTCGTTTGGAGTTCCTGGAGGGAGGAAGTTGATGCATAATTCGATCAGAGAGGAGAAACTCTCCTTCCCCTCTCCCTAATTGAGCATGGGAAGGAGAGAGCGCGAGATGAAGAGAGACGCAGGCGGAGAGAAAGAACAACAGGGATGTTTTCACAAAGTGTTAGCTCTCCCCGAGTAGGCTCATCAATGGACGGAATCCCTGAACAGGGGGAGGAGGCCCAACAGACCAGACGAGACACCGGGAGACGAAAGAAGTTCGGCCGAGAGAGGGAGAAAGCGGACTAACTAACCCACTCACTAACCCAGGAATCGATGTGAGGAATTAATGCAATGCAGGCATGGCCTGGCTCAGGGCAAGCAAGTGGAATTAAAGCAATTATATGGACGGGGTCCTTGATTAAGGATTCACTGAGCCTGCCTGCATGGTCCTCCTTCCTATCTCCTTTTTCCCTTCCTCCTTCATAATGAATGCTCCCCTTCCTTCTCTTCTCTCTGTCTCACACAATTGTCCAGGCTAATGAACCGCCTTTTTTTCCCTTCCTCTTTCGCTCTCTCCGTCTCCGTCTCTCCATCTTCATCTGAATTCGGGGAGTCTGGCCTGCATAAGGTCAAGTACCAATCTTCGTGCCTCGTCCCCCAGGGAGGTCCTGCTCCAGTACACACATCATTAAGGCCCTAGCGCCTGATTTCCCAAGTCGTCATCAAAGGAGCTCAGTGCGGACGTCCGATAGAAAAAAAGAAGGCACTCGACTTCGTACACTCATGCACAATGAACGTTCCAGTGAGTCGGCGAAAATAATCAAATAAATTGTAACTATCCGATCGAGGGATCGGGGACGAGGGCCCTCCTCGACTCTCTCGACCTTATTGTGATGACGGAGCCAAGGCACGGAACAGGACGAGCGATGCAAATGAGCACGAAATTCAGAGCCGAATGCATAGTCATGTATGCATTGCTGAATAATCGGTTTCGACAGCAAGCAATTTCCCAGTCCGACACGGCACGCCCGCGACCGTCGAGAGGGAACGAAATGAACCCACCTGATTGAGAGAGAGCTGTCCGGCTTGAATGGCAGCCAGGGCGGCCTGCACGGTGGCGGCGGAGACGGACGCGGTGGGCGTGGGGGTGTGGGTGGGCGTCGGGGTGAGTGGGGGCGACGAGGATGCCGGAGATCCCCCTCCCCCGTTCGGGGTCCCGGGGCTACCGGGCATCGAGTTGGATGATGAGGTAGGTACGGTTGTCGTTGGGATGGGAGGAAGGGTGAGAGGAGGAGGGGGAGGAGGGGGAGGCTGAGGGATCCCACCTGACGTCCCGGGTCCCGGTCCCGAACGGGACAGGCCAGTCACCTATAACGAGGACGGAAATGTCCTTAACTGCAGAAAAGCCCACCGTTCCACGCATTCACTTTCGCAACCGTCAGCCGCAGGTATGAACCGTCATCCTCTTGGCAATTACAGACACGAATCGAAATTCAGTTATCAGTTATATCGGTTATTTGGTCTCATTCAACAGATATTTCAAACGATGCGATTTTAGAAAAGGCCCTCGAGTGACTCGAACCTCAACACATCAAGCAACCGCACCCGACACACACACACACACACAGAGCAACAACGGCTCGGCAAAGGGGCACCGACTCACCAAGTTGAGAGCACCAGACGGGGTAGCAGCATCATTGCCATCGTTCGAGTCCAAACTGTCCTGGTCGTGAAGATCCCCCGTATCACTTTCGTTCATGCTCCCTTCCTCATCGTTGGACACTTCCCCATTCACCGGCCCCGGTCCCGGCCCCGACTCCACTGCAAGGGGAAGAAGAACCGCCGCCGTGACACCCCGCTCCAACGCCAACATGGAGAGCCGACAGACTCCGAACGCTAACTAGCATATTATTAAACCCGGTGAGGGTCGCTCCTCCCTACATTAACCCTTCCTATTCAGGACACACGCGTCAAACGTCCCCCCTCGGCTTATTTTTTATTCCATTTTTTTTTCCCCTCCATATTAATCCATCCGAGATGTGATATTATGCAAGCAGCTGCTGCGAGAAGCGTGCAGGCAGCACCCCTTTCAAAAAGGGTTGGTCGGCCCCTTCATCTGCATTCGATCGGCGCAGGTCTCTCATTCAGTCTTGTGGCATGCGAGGTAGATCGCATGAATGCCTGCATGCATTAAAAAAAAAATTGAAAGGGGGGAGACTCGGGTGTCCATTGAATATGCACGGGTGCGACGGCAGCTGCTGCCTCTGGGGGCCCCCAGGAGATAAAAAAAAAAAATGAAAGAGACTTTTTGTCGAATGGTGCAACCAACCCGAGGGCCGTCGCGTCGTCTCCTTGGCTCTCTCCTTTTTCCATTGGACGGATTCATAACCTACCCCTTTGAATCCCAATGGATCTGCATCTCGTTTGCATATTCCTGGCCCGGCCCACCTCATCTGCATATTCTCACGCATGAATCTCATCACCCAGCATGGCTCCTCGGCACGCTTCGAATCCTTTTTAAATATCACCCTCCCCTTCCCCGACGACCCGAACCGTTTTCTCGCGCTTTCCCGAAAACACCGCCGAGACGATCGGGCGACCGTTGCCAACCGATTACCTCGCGAAACGGTGGTCTCGAATTTCTTTCCCCGAAATAAGAGCCCGAGATCGAGTGGATTTCTGAACTGTCCGATAAACCCGCTTACCGAGCGTTACGACCCATGAAGACCGCTACTGCGAGGTCACACAGGAAGAGATAAAAGCGCTATAAAAAAAAAAAACGAAGGGGCTTCGCATGTCCCGCTTCGGATGCCGACGGTCGGCGGTGCCAACACGTCGACACCCGGCAAGATCGAGATGTAACCCGATAAAAAAAAAAAACCGGGCGAACATCAGTGAAGTAGTCGTCCTTCTCTCACGAAAGAGGGACTTCGTTTCATAACCTCGTTAAAACGCAACGACATCGTGAACCTCGCTCGCAACCGCAATTAAATCTTAAATTTCGTCCAATCGTCGAAGAGCCGATGACGAAATAATGAAAATTTGACATTTTCCACGATCGTACGTTTCGAAACGTAAAGCCGACCGGAGCCTGCATCACGCCCGCACGCACCGACGGACGCGCGCGGGGCGGAACAAGTGGCCTCTTTCCCTCTTGGAAAAAGGACCAATGAAAAAAAAAAAGGGCAGTCATTGCCATTCGGTAGGGATTTGGAAAACCGCAGCAGCGACGCCGAGAGAAGCACGACCTCCAGACTCCAGGGAACAAATGTCTCTTTAATTTCCTTTCGGTGGGCCTTCTTAAGAACGGGGCCACTTACGGCATCCTGTCGATGCACCACCACTTTCATCGCTCGACAGGAAAAAAAAAATATCTGACCCGAAAACACTCATGCGGAAATGCTGAAAAGTTCGAGTGACGAAACGCAAGAAAAACGCATCCCACCAGAAGAAAATCGCACAGCCGCCATAATTTACCCGCTTCGTCACCGCACCCGCCCGACCCCGCAACCGTCCGAGCCCACCGTCACGCAAAACCCGACGACGCGGCATGCAAACGAGATCACGAGCTCGACGAACCCCTCCAAGGTGAGGACAAAGGGAGAAGGGAGCATCCCTCCGCACCTCCCATTAGCCTCAGAGGACATAATGAATTCCTCTCCCATTCCCCGAGTGGGAGGGGAGAAACGAGTAGCCTTCGGTTGCCGAGTAACGAGACCACCGAGATGGGAAAAAAAACCCGGCCGCCCATTAGGGACTACATTTATTCACTTGGCAGCTTTCGAACGGGGGGGAGGGGGGGGGGAGGGAAATCCGCCGTAATTAGTGTGCATTATGGAAAAGATATTTTGACAATTCGGACGATTACTCACGCCTCAAATTAATTTGGTGCGGCACTCCGTTGCACAATTACTGGGAAGCGCCCGCGGCAACGTCCCGACCTGTCCCGTTCCTTCCTACAACTTTCAAACAGTCCGGACTTTTTTTGAACATTTTTTTTTAAATGTATTTATCTAAAATCTCTATCCAAATAAATGTTCTAAAATCTAACATTTTCCGCAGAACTTTACAACAAAAAAATTTTTCACGCCGATTTTCGCGTTTTCTCCCGGTGAACTTTTTTCAACTTGGCAGGTCGGTCGAAGGCGAGTTCTCGCCCTTTGTCTCTGCAGGGAGATTCCACAGCAGCAATGCTTCGTGTCATCATGGCGTCATCATATTCCGAAAAAAGAAACGGTAGGAGGCAAAATATTCAAAAGGACACGATTTGCGCCCAGAGGGAAGACCGATCATCAGTTTTAATGAGGACAGGAAGGGGGGGGGAGGGGAGAGAGAGGAGGGGGGGTGGGGGGGGGGGAATCCGGAACGTCGTAGAAGCAGCAGGTTGCTTTCACTGCTCAGGAATTCCTTTATGGATCTCTTTTCTCATTTGCCTAACCTGCCCTTTATGACAAAGACTACTTAAAATTGGGAGCCAGAGATTTTTATCCAAAGATATAATTGGGCAATCCCCGATCGGTCCCGCTTATTAAGAACGTCGCCTTATCTCCGACCGGGTTTCACAACCTCTTCGACAAGGTCAAATCGGTCCATCGATTCCATGAATCCGTAATTAGAAAATCTTCTCCTTGCGCAAGACCGATTGATGAGAGCGACGTCTCGCGGAGGCACGCGAGCGGGTCCGCGGGACCGACGGCCGGACCAAAGACCGGACCGAGGACCGGACCAAGGACCGGACCGAGGACACCGAGATGGATCCCCGGTTCCTTGGAATCGTTCCAACCAGGTAAATGAAACGCGCTGCGGTCGCAACGAGTGCGATATTTTCCTCTCAACTTTCGCAACGCGATAATAAATAAAAAGCCGTGCAAAAAAAAAACCCAACCCAGTTCGGTACTTGGCCTCATCCAAGTGCATCGTAATTAATGCATCGTAATTAGTGGTACAGTAATGGATAATATGTACGTGCTCCACAGAGAGAGACCAGCCATCCATCCCATTCTAATGTTCCAGGATAATTTTCAATTTATTTTAAAATGAAGTTTGGTACAATAAATTAAAAATAAGTTTCCGAGAGGACATAGACGTCACGTTTTCCCATTCTCGAAGCGTTGCAAAAGTTCGGTGCAATCTAAAACATTCGCCCCGCAAACCCTGACGAGACCCACAAACACCCGGCCGAATTGCGTAAAGAACCTTGCATCTTATTCATATAAAGAAAACTCGCTTAAAAAAAAAAAACGGGCCGTCAACAAAAAAAAAGGAAGGGCGTGGGGGCCGCTCGTCCCAACCAGGTGGTTTTCCACCGGGCCTGAAAGGTTCGCGTAATTGGGTGCGTGCTTCAAAACTCCTCTTCTCTCGCCTTGAAAAGCACGTCTTCTTTTTCCCCTTTTCTTTTCACGGCTTCTCTTTGCTTCCCGCCCCTCCGACCATCCTCACGTAATACCTCGGGATATGCGGCCCATCCTCACGTAATACCTCGGGATGCCTCGACGAAAGGCGTCCACCAAGGCTTCATCTCGCTGCCTCCAAACGAAGGACCCCCGATAAAGACCTTAAGTAACGAAAGACCACGAGTCCACATTCTCTGCCCTCGGGACACTTTTTTTTTTTTTTTTTTTTTTTTTAGAGCGCCCACGCACATCAAGTACTTGTCTCTATTCGGATTCTGCTACTATAACTCAAAGAAACCAGAACAGGTCGTTATCGGCCTCAATAAAAACAGAGATTTCAACATCAGCAATTACTCCATCCAAACTCACTCCTCGAAGATTTATATGAAATTAAACCGTGAAGTAAGAATTTTGAAGAGGGTGAACTGCCCCCCCCCCCAAAGTAGACTGGTTATACCAAGTGCTTCACGCCCACTGCAAGAGTGGAAAGCATATTTCACGCCAGAAGCCAGTGTAAAAGTAGGTCAGCCTGTTTGACGACATCACGATCATAATCGTGTCGATATACGGGACGAACGTGAACCGGTAATCAGGGCAGCGACGGGAACCGAAGCAGATAAAGAGAGAGCGAGAGAAATGATCCGTATTAGTGAAAGCGATCGTCCCCCCCCCCCCTCCCCCCCCCTCTCCTTTGATCACCGTCCGAAAGAGAGATCCAACTCGTACAGATATATAAATCTGAAGAAAATAAGGGAGCAAAGAGGGAGGCCAGCTGCGGGATTGTGTTTCTGATGAACATTTGATGATCACTAATCTCGTCGGAGATGGCCGTGCGGACCCCGCACAGCGTCTTATGCTAACCGAACCATTTGCAACGAGGGAGGGAGAGAGAGAGAGAGAGAGAGACCCTCTCCTTACGATATGATTGTGTTTCTGGACCACTGGCCAAACTAATACGAAGCCATGGCCAAAGAGAGAGAAGGAGGAAGAGAAAGCCTCGGCCATTATGACGGCTAATAACGTGGAGGAAACCCGTCTACAGGGGACAATTTGTGTCCCATACATCCAGGGCTCTTGCCTAGTCCTCAGACTGATATATGTCCTTCGAGAGTCCTTTAGAGCCCTGATTTATATTCCATATACCGCTCGTACGAACCCTTCCTTCTCCGAGGTATGCCGATATATATTCTCTCGGCAATAGTTGCGCGGACGACTGTATATCGAGTGATGCAACTCATCACCATATATAGTGCATTTCCGACGACATGCCGAAAGAGGAATTCGAGTAAAGGCACGTGCATAGCGATTTTTCATTATTACTCTCCTCTTTTTTTTTTTTTCCTCGATCACGCCTCGCATCCGATCCGCTCCCGGACGAACCAAGGGAGAAAAAGTTGGTATCGTCCCGGGTTCCGAATTGGAGTTTCTTTCATGGCGACGGCGAAAAAGAGAGAAGCAGCGAGGATCTCGCCGGATATCCTGCATCTCTATAGAGATGCCCCGCATCGGCTATGGATGGACATTCATCCACTTCTTCCCTCGATCCTCATTCATGATGGGTGGAAATGAGTTTTACGAGCCCTGCATTCATACATGAGGCCCCTGGCAGGGCACCGGGCGAATGGAAGATCCAATTTGGGCGAGGAAAAGAGCCTGGCCCTGCATTCATTCCACTTCCATTCCGGCATATGGGGAAATGGGCAATCCGGCATCCTGCCTTCCTTTTCGTCTTCATCTCATTGCATCGCATCCGAATCCCCTTAAGGCGCCGAATCCTCAGGTCGACTACTTCCCCCTAAAAGACTCGGGAAACACTCTCTCGCTACCGAGATCGTTTTCTTCCCCGACGAAAGGCGACCACCCTGCCCCTCGCAACCCCACGAGCGAAGGAGATTCAAATCGAATGGGAGGAGCCGACGCCGGGACGCTCCGATAGGCCGACGAGAAGCAACCAAAGCAGAAAAACCGTCACGTCAGAACACAGAAGCGCGGAGAGGAAAGGGAGGGGCGGAAAAAGAGAGAGGGGATACCTCGTTTGCATAATCCTCAACCCGTTGCTCTCGCTCCCCGACCCACAC